TTTCATCCATGCTGTCACAAATGGCAAGGGTTCATCTTTTTTATAGCTGCATAGTATTCCATTGCACTTGTGTGCGTGTGTGTGTGTATACATACACATATATCACATCTCTTTAATTCACTCATCTGAAAAGACTTAATTTTTTAAAAGGAAGTTCTAGATTCACAGCAAAATTGAGTGGAAGATATACTCCAGTTATCCCCTGCCTTCCCACATGCACAGCCTCCCTCATTATCAGCATCCTCCACCAGCATCATATTTACTGCAATCATGAACCTATACCCAGTGGTCACCCAAACACTTAATCTACCTTAGGGTTCACTCTGGGGGTTGTGCATTCTTCAGGTTTGGCTGGGGGTGAGTTTTTAACCTCTGTGAATCAGTGTGGCAGTGGGCAGTTCCTGCTCTGTCATATACAGCAGGGCCTGAACCCAGCCCCAGGAACTGGTACAAGGCAGGTGCCAAGAAGCAGGCATCGTGTTGGCTGCGCGGGCGAAAGTGCCTGAACACTGGCTGCTCAGACCTGTACCACTTGGCTCCCAGGTGGGAGCTCAGCTCCTCCTCCCAGCTCTGCAGGTCACACCCGAGTTGCACCAGGATCCCTGTACCCAGGTGTACACAAAGTCTGAGAAGCTCTGGTGTCCTTGCAGCCCCCTATTTTTCCCGTCATCTTTACTCCTTTGTGAACAAACGCTTTAGAGCTTGGAAATTGATCTCTAGGGCTTGAAATTAGAGTCCCTGCAGCCTTTTGTGCTGGGGAGAGACTTCTCTTGGGTTTTCTAACCTCTTCCTGAATTAACTTCAGAAGTAATTCCCTGGGCATTGTTACTGCTATCTCTGCAGAGCTGGATTTTCTCCTCTGGGGCTTGATATAAAGGGAAAAAAACCAACATGAAAACAAACATTTCAACTTGGCACGCCTCACATTTCTTAACAGGAAGTTTCTGTTCCTCTGTTTTACTGGTCAGGAGAAGGTTTTGTACTTTCGACCACTTTGTCTTCCCGGTTCCCTGTCCTTTGAAGGCAGAGTCCATTGCATTCTCATTTGTATCAGATACCTTGATAATGGCAGTAGCACGTAAAATAGCCTCTAAACGTTGCTTTTCTTTGCTGTTTTATCTCTTGCAGTCTTCTGGAGTACAGATGAGTTTCTGATTCATTTTGAAGGGGCTCTTCACTCCCTGTTCAGATCTTATATTTAAAAATAAATTACAGCAGCGTTTTAAAACAGATACCTACGTTGATTTATCTTCAGGAAAACTGTCAAATCTGTATGCTACGTAATTGAACAGAATATTGATTTCATTAGTTCTTAAATTTATCTCTCTGTAGCCTTTGCTGTAGAACCAAACAGCTGCTACTTTATTGTAGCTGTAATAAGGATCCTGTTGACTTTTACTCAAGCTTGGAATGTGACAGGTCAGTAATAAAAGAACACAGACGAAAAATCCTAGAGCCAGATTCTATAGGGGACAACAAATGCCTAGTATGGCTATGAAACAACTTAATATCACTAAGAAATGGTTTCCTTCTTTTATTGTTGACTCATTTTTGAAAGTCCTATTACATAGAGAGGAGTATGACCCTTTAAAGTGAGCTGCTTTGTCTAGTGTTAGTTTGTCTTTCAAATGCTAAAGAAACCACTAGAAATATTTTATCTCTGTAAATATGTAACTGAATGTCATTTACAAGTGTCAGTATGTACACACAGATCTATTCACAGAATTTTGCCTTACTTTTGATTTCCTTACCACTGCTCCCGCCTCCACCCAAGCGTCTGTACAATTGTGATAAATGATTTTAAATCTGTATTTTGTCCTTTGTCACCTCACAACTTATGTAGTATTGTTCATTAATAGCATCGGTATACTGGTTTAGATTTAGCCATAGCTTAATCATTTATTTATTCTCAATTCCTAATCTTTTGTTTAGAGAGGCTTCTCCTGTGAAGATCTTCTAATTATATAACTTTTCATTTATCCGAAAAAGTATTTTATGTTTCTTTTTTAAAAGATTTATTTATTTATGGATATAAGAACTGGGGTGCAGGCCAGAGATGTGGAGGAGATGAGAGGATTCACCAGAGGCAGAGTGGGGAGCAGAACAGGCAGATCTACTGAAATACACTGCTGAGGGGAGCAGCTGGGAGACAGGAGAGGTCTGCTGCGCCATGTGGGTCAGCTCTCTGGTGGGGGATCGAACTCAGGCCACAACAGTGATAGTTTTGAGACTTAACCCCTAGGCCATCAGGGAGACCCTGCAGGTGTGGGTTTTTAAAATAAATAATTTTGCTGGGGATTTCTTGGTCTTCCTAAATTGAAGGACATACATCTTTTTCTAAGTTTGGAAGATTTTTAGCACTCTCTTTGAATATTGCCACTACTCTATTCCCTCTGTTGCTTTCAAACTTCGAACAAATGTATGTGAACTGTCTCATTCCAGCTTCCATGTCTCTCACCTTCTTATAGTTTTCATCCTTTGGTTTCTCTCTGTTTCATTCTGAATAATTTCCAGTCTGTCCCCCAGTTCACAAAGTCTCTCTTCAGCTGTGTCTAAATTGTTCTAATTATATATTGTTCATTGTATATTGAGTTTTAAAATTTTAATTGTTAAATTTTTTAATTTCTTTTTTAAAAAGATTTATTTATGCTTACCAGAGCTGGGGTACAGGCCAGAGATGTGGGGGGTGAGAGAATTCACCAGAGACAGAGTGGGGAGCAGAACAGGTGGATTGACCAAAGTTCACTGCTGAGGGAAGCAACAGGCGAGACAGGAGAGGTCTGCTGCGCCATGTGGGTTGCTCCCTGGCCAGGAATCGAACTCGTGCTGCAGAGGCTGTGGATTGCTTCATAGTGCAGTGCTTAACCCCTTATGTCACCAGGGAGGCCCCAAATTTTTTAATTTCTAAAAGGCTCCTTTTTAAGTTTTTCTGGCCATTTTTCATAATCTCTTGCTCCTTACTCAGGTCCCTCATTATTGTTTTAAATGAGTTAAATATACTTTACAACATATGTCCCCTAATTCCAGTTTCTGAAGTCTTTCTAGGTTGGATACTATTTATGTGGCTTTCTTTTCACCCTTTTTTCTTGGGATTTCTATTGATTTTTTGCCCCCCACAGTACCTTATTTCCTTTTGTTTTATCATTTTTAGATTTGCACTCATATTTGTTGGAACTCTAGTTGCAGGGACACTTAGATGCCTGACTTGACTGTGTTTTTTGGGTGATGATTTATATTGGCCTCTGATAGGCTGTGGGGACCTGTTCCAGTTTAAATTATGTTCTCATAGCTTTTAGGGACATACAAGTAGTGTAGCTTCCAAACTTGGGTAGATTTTTTTGTAAAATACCTGTACTGAGTCAAAGCTGAGACAGACACTTTTTCTTGCTGTTTTCTCTGTTTGGCTCTTTTTCTTCCTAATTCACTTTTTCTGTGAGTTTAAGACACTTTGAGTCTCTAGTTTTTGGAGATGGTCTTCAATTTGGTTCTTTGCATATTGAGATCCAAAACTCATCCCTCACCCACTGTGGCCAAAGCATCAGGCCACCTGGTCCAGAGTCCCTGCAGGCTGCCTGGTGACTTCAGTACCTGCCAGCCTCCCTGCCAGCTCTTGCTTTGTTCCTACACTCAGCACATGTCCCTTATTGTCATGCAGCTTATCCAGTCATTTAAAAGGATGTTTTTGAACTTTCATTAAACATTCTTAAGTGTTACAAAGTGGGATCTCAAGTTAGCTGTATTGCCTCGAAATAGAATAGAAATGACTCACTTAAAAAAAAACAACAACAGAATGAATTGAAGATTATCCCTATCCTACTTCACATGTGTTCACATAGGCTGTTTGGAGAAGACAGGAGAGGACTGTCATGGGCAGTGATGATTGCTGGGTGTCCAGACGGTGCTGCTGTGGGTGGTACCCAAGGCCCAGGCCTTCGTGTGTCCTCTGTATCCTGTTACAGATGGAGACACCTGACCCACTTAACTGGTAATGACAGTGGATGAGGAATGTGGACATTTGATCATCTGATAGGGTGATAGGATGCTTTCGGCACATGCCAGAACTTGGTCCTCAGATACTGTTCATTCATTCAACAGATGTTCATTGAGCACTGACATGTCATTCGCTGGTCCATCAGAGCCTGTCCTCAGGAACTCACACTGTAGTGAGTAGATGATCCATTTTACTAGCACAATAACCTGACAGGTAGAAGCCTAAGTGGAGGCACTAACCAACTTAGAGTATTGAGGAGTGTGGTAGTTACCTGCCTCTGCAGGACCAATAGCAGCCACCCAGGTGGAAAGCCAGGAAGGGCATCCTCGGCAGAGGGAGAAGAATGTGCAAAGTTATGGAGCAGACAGACTTTGGATTAGGGACCATCAAAATCTAGACTGAAATCCGGAGGTGTGAGAGGGGAGCAGGGAGTGCTGGTAGCCAAACCTGGAGGCAGGACCCAGAGGCGGTGTCTGGAGAACCCTGGGGAGCCTCTCCTAGCTGGGTAGTAAGCAATGGAGTCAGACTTGTCGTGCTCATGCTTCTTGAGAGCCAGCTGTTCTGGAAGAGACAGACCTCAGGAGTCCAGGCAGGCTTATGTTCCGACTCCAGCCTCTCCTCTGCCTTGGTTGTCTTGGATTTGATTTTCTTCTCTGAACCTCTCTTTCTATGTGATAAATGAGAGTGAATAGGTCTAGACAGGCCTTCTCCACTTCCAATGTTCTGTGGTGTTGCTAGGAAGAGAAGAAACGTATAACCACACACACACCCTTAAGTGACGATGGTGCTCACATTTATGAATATCGTGATATTAGATGTTGTCGTTTATGTTAATCATCCTGTGTTTGTTCTAGCAATTTCTGCCTGCCAACTAGCTGTTTGTCTTCTATTGGTGGACAGTCACAGTGAATGGATCTTTTTCAAAGAGTATATTTTAATATTTCAAACAAAACATAGCAATGTGAATTCCATCGCCTGGTCACTAACCCAGCTCTTATTGTCTTTGCAGATGAGCTGTCTGTGGAGCAGCACACCCCGTCCTTGTCCTCCGTGGAGCTCATGCCCCAGAACAGTGCTGAGCTCGGCTCTGCACATGTGGCCTTAACAGCACCCACGCCCGGGTCCCCGCTCAGCAGCCCTCCCCACGCCATGTCATCTCCATCCACCGCTACTTTTGATACAAACTTTTTTAATCAAGGAAAACTGATCCCAAGTACAGCCGACCCAGGCACCTTCGAGACAGATCACGTGTCTCTGATGAGCAACGAGGTGTTCATTGATGACGACGAAATGGATAACTTTTTGCCAGAAACCCACTGGACCACTTCCCGGGGCGGTTCTCCGGTAAGGTCTATCACAGTCAGTGCTCCTGGGCGGCCCAGAGACACGTTCGACTCTGGACCGACTCCATCATTACCCATCACGTCTTTGCAAGATAAAGAAGTGACATCGGTCTGGCAGATCTCAACGCAACAAGCAGCAACGTATGCTGAGCCTCCCAGTCACCCCAACACCTTTCAGTCATCTCTTCTCGTCTCCGATGGCATGATTCTGACTCCGAGTCGGAATTTGGTGCTTTATCCTACTCTCACTTACGGGCAGTTATCGAGCAGGACTCTGCTGGAGGTCATGGCTTCCGCGCCAGGGGCTATAGAAACCTCCCCTTCTCACCCCGGGGCTTCAGTGCCTCAGCCTTCAGGGGATGGCATGACCCCACAGCCGTCAGGGGAGGCCTCACAGCCTCCAGGGGACGTCCTGGCCTTGACGATAGGCAGGTACCCTGATGTGACCCCCACTTTGAGTCACAGTCTACAGGAAACCGTCTCTTGGAGCACGTACCCTGCTGCCGCTGGAGCTCAGCCAGCCCCGACTTTAAACAGCGGCTTCCACACACACTCGGCTTCGTTTCCAACTCCTCTTGTGGCTATAAATTCTTCTACACCGTCAGCGGATGTTTCCTCTCTCCCCCTTCTTCCCAGCAGCTCCAGTGACACATGGGACTCGCCCCCTGTGTCCTTGGCCGCAGGCCCTGTGGGTGACCCTGACACCCGGGGCCCGATGTCTTCACCCAGACCCTTCACGTGGTGCGTGTCCTGCACGCTGGCGTCCCCACATTACGGCCCGTCAGCCAGCCTCCTGGAGAAGGAAGTGGGGTCGGGGGACGGTGCAGAGACTCCGGCCATGACCCTGCTGGAGGCCAGCAGCAGCATCTCTCCTCCGAGCAGCCTGGAGGCAGACTTCTCAGAATTCGAGGAGGAGCCTCAAGTGTTTAACACCCTGTTTCCCTCAAGGCCTGTTGTTCCACTTTCTTCTCGACCTGCAGAATTTGCAGAAACCAGCGTTGGTGTTTCGGCCCAGGTGGGCATGGATGGGGCTCTGACCACACAGGTGTATCCTGCCCAGGGCCTCCCGTCCACACCAGTGATGCCCGAGGCCCCGTCTGTTGTCTCCTCCTCTGTCATGCTGTCCAGTGGGACAGCGGTGTTGTCCTCAGCTGTCACCAGTGCTCCCCTTGACATGTCTTTCCTCAGCACGACAAACAAAATCATTCCATCGCTGGCTCTCAGTCCCTCCAGCCTCTCCCCACTGTATAGTTTGGGTCCTTCAGGAGAGTCCTCACTGTTCTCTGACCCAGACCCCACCAGTTTTTCCAGACATGAAACTGGAAGTGTCTGGGATTTTGCATCCAGCTTTTTCTCAACCCCTCTGCTGGAACCCAGCAGCTCCGGGCCTCCCCCCTCAGTACCAGCTTCTCCCTCTCTAGTGTCAAGCGACGGGGCAACCTTTGTTTCTCAGGCTTTTCCTACCTTGGTTGAGACGTTTACATTGTCTGACTCTATCACTCCACAGTCGCCGCCTCAGCTCTCTGTTCCTAACTCCACAAACCCGGAATTTTCTCTGCTCTGGCCAAGCTCAGGCATCCTTTCCACGACATTTGGTTTTCTCCCCACTTACTCTGAGTTCTCACTACTCTCAAGCATCCCTCCTGAGTCTCTGCCGTTCTCAGAAGCATCCACATTTTTGCCGACAGAGTCTGGAGCTCATCTTACCTCAGCTTTCACTGAAACTACCTCCTCTTTTGAGTTTTCACTCACGCCCCAGGAACCTGCCGTCTCCACACTGGTGCCCCCCAGCTCCGAGCCCCTCCTGACCAGCTCGACGGCGGGAAACCACCGAACGTCACTTTGGGCTGCTTTCCCCACGACCACGCTTTCAACTCAGTCTTCTCTCTTTTCGACTTGGACACCTTCCGACGACAACATCAGCGCCCTGGACGGTCACGCGTCCGCCTCACCCGCCTTCTCTAGAGCCGCCTCCTCCCCTGCGCCACTGGCCACCCCTGTGTCCCCGCCGCCAGCATCCTCCTTCATTTCCGAGGTGAGCCCCACGGCAGTCCCCACGGAGCCGGAGCCGGTGTTGGCGGGCCCGTCTCTCACGCCCACGCGTTTCCCGATGAACGCCTCTGCGGAACCCAGCTCAGGGGACACCGGCACTGCACCTGATTCTGCCATCCGCACCACCTTGAGCGGCCCAGCGGCGAGCCAGGCTCCCCCCGAGGACAGCTCAGCTTCCCCACCTCCGTCCCTTCCTCCCGAGACCACCTCCATGCCAGAAGCAACAGAAGACACCCCGGCGCTGCTCGCCACCAAGCCGCCCTACCTGTGCGACATCACGGTCCCCGACGCCTATCTCATCACCACCGGTAAGGCCCAGCCCAGGCCGCCCCCCATGGGCATGGTCCTGCCGAGGTGCTGCTGTAAAATGCAGCCACTGCGTCATGGCTAAGGGTGCAGGCTTTGGACCCAGACACGAGTCCTCACTTTGGCTTGGGGATCCGTTAATTGGGGATCCTTCCTTTCCAAGCGCCACAGTCATGTTGGGGTGATAATGGCACCTGCTCCATGGGGTTATTGTGAATATTTAATTGCTTTAGTGCATGTAAAATGCTGAGTACAGTGACTGCCACAGAAGGAGCACCCAGAAAACATTACAAATTGATAATAGCAATAATAATAAAGATTTGTTTCTTTATTTTTTTATATCCCCCAAAGGCAGGTTTATTATAAAAAAGGAAGGGAGGAAAGGACATGAGCGGGCAGAAGGAGCTGCTCCTCAAAGGGACAGGTTTGTGAAAAGAAATACCTGATAGTCACAGGCGGGCGGGAGAGCTGCTAAGAATAAAGATTTAAACAAGCCTTAGAAGTACCTGTCTTGGTACTGTGGGGACTGTCTTGGGCACGTGTGACCCGGCAGGTGCATAGGTGACAAGGGCAGGTCCCCTTCAGGTGTTCGGTTCCAGTAGTTAGTTGAGCAGATGTGTGGAAGGGTGACCATTGCAGTTTCTTACTGATTTACCCTTTTGCTTAAAAGCAGGGCTGCTTTGCTCTTTCACATTCCTGTAAATGCCCCTTGGAGCCTGAGGAAAGACACAGGGAGTGGCTGGTTCGCTCCTGAGTTCAGTCTCAAGCCTTGACCCTCTCCCGGTCTGCAGCCTGACTTGTCCACGAGCAGCAGCTGCGTCATGGGAAGCCTGGTGCGGGGGCAGCGTGTCCCCACAGGCCAGTGGCTGGGACCCGCCAGGTCAGGTTCTCCAGCTCGGTCTTCATGAAGTCCGTGACCTCTTAGGACAGACTGACACACACGCTAGTATTGGTGAGCGGCCTGGTTCTGTGAGTGGGCTCAGGACGATCGGGTCAGGAATGAAGGAGGGAGAGATGGCAGAGGGGTAGAAGCGAAATGGAGTGGAGAAGGATGGAGCAGTGAAGAAGGGAGTGGAAGGGTGAAGAAGACCTTTCTTCTCCATGCCAGGAGGGGGCCATGGATCCCCTGCCGTGAATCCTTGAGGGGGTGTGTGGTTGGAAACAGGGGAGCTGTTGGTCTCCTGACTCCCTCTTTCAGATGACCCGGAGTGGGCTTGGAAGGATGTGAGGTTGGAGGTTCACATTAAGGCCAAGAGGAAGACTGTCCTCTGGAGCAGAGGGGTGTGCCTGCAGGGGGAGGGTGTGATTGCAGGTGGAGAGGTCACACGGCCAAGGACACTCAGCTCGACTTGTCATTAGACTAGGCCAAGAGGTGGGTCACAGTGGTGGACTCTGGCCAGTGGGGTTAGGGTAGGCCAGAGGGGGAGAGAAAAGACCTTGTCACAGAGTGACCTGATGATTTTCTTCCTTCCTAAGAATTTCTGCAACAGAGCGGTCAGTTGTGAGCAACTTATTCTTTGTCTCGGTCTCTATGACACGTGATGTTTATAGCTATGCTGTTGTGCCTTTCATAACTTTTTGGGAAGCATTTAGTAACCATTTTGGAAGTATCTCTAAGGATATCAGGTGTGATATGGCATGGACTGACTTAGTAACAGATGTTTAATGAATTTGGTGTCCCTTATTAGGGACCCATCTGTTTTTAATAGCTGGGTGGGGGGGCGTAAAATTCACCCACTGTAGACGTGCACTTCAGTTTCAGCAACTGTGTGGAGCGGTGCCTGCGTCTCCTGCCAGGGTAGATGTATTTGTAAGGGGAGGAGAATGCCAGCTTTTGTTCTCAGTGATCTCTGACCCAGAGAAATGCCACCTCATCTAGAATCCTCATTCAAATTTGACCTTGATTTCTTTGGTAGTAATTACCTGTCAGAGTCAGAGAGACAGACTTGGTTGAGGTGGCTCCTTGTCCTCAAAGGTGCTTTTTGTGGAGCTCGGTAATAAAAGTAAGACTAAGCCCAGTGCGTCCGGGAAGCGTTGGCCCTCATGTACCCAGAGAGGGTGAGGCTGCTGCCCCCAGCACCTGCCTGCCCCCGGCCTCACTTCTTTTGGCTCCAGGGAAACTGGATATTTGGGAAAACTGTAAGACACTTATTTGCTGACCTCCCACCTTACCTGAAAACTCTTTTATTCATACCCCAGGTTGCGGTTTTAGATGCACGTGATTAGAGAAGGTGGAGGCTGGGGGGGCTAGGCTGTGGGGGCCATTTAGAGGGATATTTAAACGGTTTGCCCTGATCCTTTCGCCATAGTTACCCGAAGTCCCCCTAGTTTTCCTCTTTTTTTTTTTTTTTTAAAGATTTATTTATTTATTTATACAAGCACTGGGGATAATCAGAAGCACGGGAGGGTGAGAGGATTCACCAGAGCCAGAGCAGGGAACAGAACAGGCAGACTGACGAAGTACACTGCTGAGGGGAGCAGCGGGCGGCAGGAGAGGTCTGCGCGCCATGTGGGACCCTCGCTAGCAGCCGGGGATCGAACTGGCGCTGCAGAGGCTGCGGGCAGCATCGCAGGCCAGTGCTCAACCGCTGCGCCACCAGGGAGGCCCAACCCCCAGTTTCCTCTTTAGGACACCCTCTGTCTGATTGTCTGTCTCTCCTTTCCCTATGAAAACGTCCTTCTCTGCTTTTGTCTTTCCCTCCCTCCCCACCCCCACCTTTCCACTCTTTTTTTTTTTTTTTGTCTTTCCCTTTGAAGCCCTGGCTGGTCCACGCTGAGCCCTAGCTCTGAATTTGTCCATCTTACCAAAGAAATTCTCCTCCCCCCTTTTGAGATCAAAGTCACTGATCAACAGGAAAAGCAAGCAAATGTATATTAAACTTTTTTTTTTTTTAAAGAATGAAAGATGCAGTTTTAAAATTAGGGCAGGAAATGGAAAACTGAATAGTAATAAATGAATTTTGAGTCCGCATTATAAGCAGTTAGTGGGATAGGAAAGAAAAGATAATGGGGGAAAAGAGGAGTAGGATATGCTTAGGAAATACTGAGAAATAGGATTGCTTCTTATTATAGTTTTAAATAGAATTTTTTAAATGTGGAAGGAAAGTTTGAACATAGCTAGACTTTGTTATAAGAAATTTTATTTCCTACATAAAATGTTAATACATGCCAATCATGAAAATCCTTTTCCCCCACCATTAGGGGCACAAACCCTTCACTTGCTGTATTGAAATGTTGGGGTAGGAAACCCCTATTTCATTTTTAAGATGTCGTCTATTTTTGCTGAGTATTATCTTAAGACCTTTTACTGCTGGGATTTTTTTGAGGCTGTTGTTTTACACGAGGGGCATAGCCAAGAGAAATGCTGGTATTTGCCAGATGAGAATGAGAGCTCCAGGCTGTCTGGCCCCTGAGTGGGCCATGACCACGGATTCCTGGTCTCACTTCCCAAGTGAAGTCAAGGGTTTTCTTAGCACGTTGAGCTGATGCTCTGCGCAGTTCACCTGTGCCTCCTCTCTTTCCTAGTTGAGGCCTTATTTTAAAAAATGATTTCTGGATCCGTTACCACACTTCGGTTCAGCCATCTCCTCCCTGAGGCCCTGAAGTGTGATGCCCACATTATTCATAACAACACTAACCTGCCCTCGGTGGCTGCCTTTGATTCACAGTGCTGGCCAGAAGAGCCGTGCAGGAGTACATCATCACATCCATCAAAGAGGTGTTGAGGATTCACTTCAACCGAGCAGTGGAGCTCCAGGTGAGACCCGGGGGCTGCAAGTGGGATGTGGGAGCCTGGGTCGAACACAAGTTGTGATGCAGGGGAACCTTCTCTTCCCTGTGCCCTCCCTCCTGGCGACCACTCCAGTGTCACAGCCTCCCTGAAACCAGCCCAGGCCAAGGGACTCCATCGGAGGGGAGTGTTGGCAGAGTTGCAACAAAGGGGCTCTAAGACCAGGGTTTGGGGTGATGACCCTGGCATCTTTGCTTCCCTGGATTTACATGAAAGAACTTGGATGAGAGCCTCAATTAGATTTTGGAGTGACTATTTTTGTATATTCAGTGAGACAGACATAGATTCCAAATGGTTTAGCCTGGACCCTGAGCTAGTGCCTCTTCTCCCCTGGGAGCTCAGAAAGCCACACTGCAGACCTGCACCATCCCAAATGGAGCCACAGGGCACATGTGGCCGCTGAGCAGGGATAGTGGGGCTTGGGACACAAGATGTGCTGCAAGAACAAAATACGTATCAGATCTCGGAGACTTTGAAAAAAAAAAGAATAAAAAGCATCTCCTATTTTAAATAAAATATATTTAAAATTAATTTCACCTGTTTCTTTTATTGGCACTGTGGCTACTAGAGTTATAAAAATTGTATGTCTGGCTCTTCTATTTCCTCAGGACAGCCCTGCTCAGTAAAATAAGTAAGATAAATACAACACAGAATCTTGCGATCGGCATAGCTCATCATTCAGCTCAGATTATTGACTGCTCTCCTTTCTGCCCTGGGTTTTGTAATTTTGTGCTGAGGAAGGTTGGCTGCTGTCAGAAGGGATAACTAAAATTTTATTGTGAAGTATGATCCCTTTCTTTATAGTTTACCTTAATTACTTAATTCTATTTCTACTCAATAGAGCATTGTGAAGGTTTGAATTAAGATAATCTCGAATTTTGATCATTATTGTCTCCTGTATCTTATTTTTATAGGTTTATGAGCTATTTGCTGACTTCACATTTCTGGTCACATCTGGTCCTTTTGTTTACACGGCAATCTCAGTCATAAACGTCCTTGTCAATAGCAAACTGGTCCGAGACCAAACTCCTTTGATCTTGGCTGTGAAACCTTCTTTCCTTGTGCCAGAGTCTCGGTTCCAAGTTCAAACCGGTGAGAAAGCAGTCTTGTTGATTTGACTTGTCAAAAGAGTTTCACTTAATTTAAAAAAAAATTTGGAGAGGATTATTTTTTAAATTTATAGTTAAATATTCAAGGAACTTTGTAATTACACAAAATTTCTAGCATATATAAAAGTACACAGAGTAGTTTATTAATGTCCCCCCATGCACCTGTGTGGCCCCCATAATTTCCTAGCTAGTCTTGTTACACCTGTATCCCCATCTCTGTCCCCTTTCTCTCACATTCTTTTGATATAACATCAAATCATCTCATTCATAAATGTTTAAGTCCATGCATCTAACAGATGAGGACTATTTCACATGCTCATACATGTACCTGCCTGCAAACCTACACATACCAACAAATTTATTCACAATATTTCTATCACCCTCCCTAAAATTAACAGCAGTTCCTTAATAGCCTACTAAACTTTTTATTATAGACATTTTCAAACATTAACAGTATCTGGATAACATTTAGTCTATACATGCCCATCACTAAAGCCTTAAAAACTATCAGAAATTTCCCAATATTGTTTCATTTATTTCTCCACCATTTTTCCCCTGTGAAAGTAAGAGTATTTTAAAACAACACCAGATACCATGTCATCGCACTTATATGTACTAAGAATTTATCTCTAATGAATTTAGCTGTATTTGCAAATATCTCAGTTGTCTCTTCTGATGCTTAAGATATTGTCTTCTGTATTTTTCCATTTGAAAATGATACGAGTCATTTGAACTTGCATGTATCCATTGGAGTGGAGTTGACTTTCTATATTTCCTTGAGAGGATGCACATAAATAGTTGTAATACTTAGTCTCATGCTGTGGATGAATCCATCAATTCAGACGCTGTTTTCCCCCACTCCTTCATACTAAAGAAACTCCCGGCTCACACTGTGGCTGCTGTCCTTTCAGTGCTGCAGTTTGTGCCTCAGACCGTGGACACGGGCTTCTGCAACTTCACCCAGCGCATCGAGAAGGGCCTGATGATCGCCCTGTCTGCAGTGAGGAAGCACCAGCAGGGCACGTATAACCTCACGGTGCAGGTGAGCCCTGCAGGAGAGCCCCGCCAGATGCTTTATCCTTCAAAGGGGGATTGCTTCATAATCCTCCATTCACTGTGCATTGAACTCTCACTAATCCCCTCGCCTGGAGAGGGTTGGGTTCCCAGGGAGCAGGCTGCGCCCTCCCAGACGGTGTCTGCGTGGGGTGACTAGGCTCAGCGTATTTGAAGATTGCAGAGGAGCAGGAGAATCCGGGAGCTCAGATCCAGTGGCATGAGAAGGGGTGACCCTATACAGGAAATTCGGTCACGTCCTACAACGCTCAGTGCCAGCTTCCATGTACGGTGGGGAGGGCGCCTAAATACACTGAGATGCAGCACTTCCCTGGAAAAGCAGGCCGGCTATGAGGAATGGGCTTTTCATATGTGCTGTGTGGCAACTGCTCATGTTTAGCCATTTCTTTGGTGTTTTCTTCTTCATAATCTTTGTTCTCTCTTCCTGGAATTCATTTTAAATGGATTTTGGTGCTCCTGGACTCACTTTCCATTTTTCGGATTTTGTCTTCTCTTTTCCATCTTTTATTTTTATTCCCATTATTAGAGATTTTCTAGGGATTGTCCTCCAAGTCCTTAATTTCGTCTTCAGCTGTGTCCATGATGCTATTTAATCCTCTGTTGAACTTTCTCTTAGCCATCCTTTCCCCCCTTGTCCTCTGCTCCTTTCTCGTAGCCGCCTTTCCGGCAGGGGTGCAGGGTCACCTCACACTATGGTGCCTTGAGAGTCTCCGAGTGTTACAGGGCAGGGAGAGGGGAAGCCCAAACCCCACAAACCTGCCTATTCTATATAGGGTTCTGCCATCCGCCGCGTTAACACAAAACATGAGACTTTAATGGGAAGGAACTTTAATACAATTAGGAAACAATACAGGAAAGGCAAAGAATCTAGTTTCTAAATGAAGCACCCATTGTTACCCGTCCCCTTGTGGGTAAAAGTCCATCCAAATGGGATTGGCCCAGAGCAAGGCCCCAAAGCCTGCCACAAGTCTAAGGCACCTTCCAGTGGGGACCCACAGAAAAGGGTCAGAAACAACCAGACAAGCCCGGAAGGAAAAGAGCAAAATCAGCATCAAGATAAAAGCTGCCATTGTCACCTCCCCACGGGTCTCACCCACATCTGTGTCACCCCGTCCACGACCAAAGACAAGCGCAGTTTCTTCACGTGTCTCTAGGCTCCATGCGCCTCCTCCAGGTCTCCTTCTGGCTCCATCCTGCTTTCTTCCTTCCTCAGTCTCCTCTGCAGCTTCTCCTCTCCCTGCTCAGCTCCACCCTCCCTTGGGTGGGGCAGGGAACCTGGAACCTCCCCCTTTCCTGGGGACCCCCCTGTTACATGAGGACACTAACTAGAATATTTTAAAGTTATGTCTGTTTTCTCTGCAGCCGCTGTTCTGTGTGTCCATCTAAGACCTTTGGTCAAATCTTATCAGTTTGCCAGAAATGTCTAGAGTTGCTTGTTGTAAAGAAGGTAGAAGCCAGTTGTTAATTTTCGCAGCTCCTTTGGCTTCGCCTCCACCTGTGGACTTGGCATCTCTGTCCCTGTCTCCTGATGGGAGTGCTCCCGGGAGCACCGGCTTGTGGCCTCTCCCAGGGCAGTGTGTGGTCCAAGGCAGGCAGACTGGCCCGCGCTGTGTGAGAAAAGGACAGGAGCGCATAGCACTTCTGAGTAATGGTCACGGCGGCTCTGCCACTTTTTCCTTCCCTTTCTGTCTCTGTCTCGTGTGTGTGTGGGGGACACTGGCTCTATCTCGGTCTCTACCCACCTTCTCTTTTGGGGGCCAGACCCACCATAGGGCTTTCGTTCCTTCCAGGCAAGAGCTCATTTTCCCCTGGGAGCAGCTCTGCGGGGCGAGGACGTGGCTGCTGCTGTCTTGGCTGGGGTGTGGCAGTTCAAAAGGGGAGGGGGGGAGTTGACTCAGCTTGTTGGCCCTTTAGTCCTCTGGTTGTGCACCGAGCAGGTCTCCCCGGACCCCTTGGGGGAGGCCGCTCTCAGCTGGTATGTGCTTGGGGTCTCAGCTCTGGCTTCTATCAGCGTGACCCCATCCTTTCTCCATCTTCCAGAAGTTTGACACAATCTCTGGTTTTCTTCCAGTCTCAGTGCTGTTGTGGATTTATCCCCCTTTGTTCGGCTTATTGTTAGTTCAGTGGGATTTAGGGTGGGCGGGACTATAAATATGTGTGCTCAGTTCATTACTTAATGTAAAAAACATTTTCAGTAAACATTTTAAAATAATGCAGAAGGGAGCCAATTTGTAAAGCCAGTTACTCTTCTTTTTAAAGCTTTACCTCCTCAGAGAGAGAGAGAGAGAGAGAAATTGTGGGAGAAGTCACAGTTAAGCTTTTACCAGAACACTTATGTTCGCTGTGGAAGCTCACTCTGCCCTCTTCCATCTTTCAGATCCTGAATGTCACCGTGGGTTCTCCCCGGATGGCCCCTCGGCGTGGCCCTGTCAGCATCGTCTTCGCCGTTCGGGGCTCGCAGGGGCTCCTGAGCGGGTGGGAGGTGAGCGAGAGGCTCAGGAACCTGAGTGTGGTGGAGTTCAGTTTCTACCTGGGGTACCCGGTGCTGCAGATCGCCGAACGTGAGTACCGTTTCTGCAGGTGCCGGGGTGACTGCGGGTGCTTTTGTGGGTGGACCTCTTTATCCAGAGGAAACATTTGGCTGCCATCCAGAATATGAAGCAGATAAGGTTGGAACCTCTCAGACTCAAACCAGAGAGGGACCCCCAGCGTCCTCAGTCACCCAGGGTTCGTGGTGTTATTACTCTCTTTCCAGAGAACAGCAGTTCTGGAAAAGGTAAACCCAGAGTGGTGGAGACCAGATGTTGGTTGCCAGGGGTGATGGACGTGAGGAATGCTGGATTACAAAGGACGCAGAAAGGGGATGATGGGATTGTTCTGTGTCTTTCTGGTGGTTACATGACTGTGCATTTCTCAAAACCCACAAATCTGTACACCCCAAAGAGTAAACGTTACTGTGCGTGTGCTTGAAAATGAAAAAAGAAGAAGAAATGAAAGCAAACAAAATCTTTCTTCCTGGCTGAAGCAGTTAGATCCACAGTGCCCGTGGGGGGTGGGGGAAACATTTACTTCATACAACAGTAGATTCCAGAGTCCGAGTTACATAAAAGTAATAGCAAAATCAAAAACCTTATTTTTTCTCAAAATGGAACAGCCAGATAACCTGATGATTGTTCATATATTTTAGTGTAACATTCATGAAATGAAGAAGAATGACTTGTGAAATACGGAGGTAGACAGGGATGAAATTGTTAGTAACATAGAGCAGCCCTCCTTGTGCACTGCGCAGGTGTGCATGAATAGTAAGTGTGCCAGGTGCCAGGTGTGACAGGCTCTCCCAGGTGAGCCAGCTCGGAGGGTCACGTCCCTCGTCAGTGCTGGGAAGCCCTGGGCTCGGAGAACACCGTGTGAAAACTCATTGTTCTGGAACAATGGCATTTCAAGGGGAGCTTGTGGGCGAGTTCTCTGAAACAGTATCCCACAGATGTGGTTTCAACAGGCCATTATCATACATTAATTCAGCAAAACATTTACAGACAAATAAAAGTATAGGAGGGAAAAGTTTTAATCGGCACAATAGAGAAACTACCGTAGGGAATAACGGAAAGAGGTATTTAAAATACTAAACTTCAAAGCTTCCTTCTTTTACCTTTTGTTTAATAATTTATCTAGAATGAGTCAATGAGGCGGGTGCAAGGTAAATCCCTCTACCTGTGAACAGTTTAAAGACCAAACGTCCTTGTAGGAAGATAGTGAGACATTTTATAGCCGTAGGCAAGAAGCCCGCCTGACTAGTGATTGCGGGTTCTCCAGCTGTGCCTTGCTGTCCCCCCTCTTTCTCCTTGAGACTGCAGTCCCCGCCTTCACACCCACATGGCCTTCTGTCCTTCCATCCCTCTAGAATTAAATAGCGTAGGGAAGAGAGGGTGGAGACTGGCCCAGCCCTCCCAGAACACCTGCCTTCCAGACTGTTGAAAACGTGTTTTTTGCTGATTTTTCTGCTCCCCCAACTCTTTCCTTTCCCAGCCTTCCAGTACCCACAGCTCAACTTGTCTCAGCTGCTGAAGTCCTCTTGGGTGAGGACAGGTATGTTGAACTTACGTAACGTTCTGGGAGCTGTGGGAAGGCGCGGGCTGTGCGGGGTACTGAGTATGATGCCGCCCTTTCCTGTTTCTGTCCTAAATTGAGGACAGAATGTACTTTAAATTCTTGGCAAAGAATGAATGAGAAAGAGATTCAGTTTTGGCTGAGGGCATGTGTCCCCGCTGGGTTACGGCACAGAAAGGACCGGCTTTCTTTAAAATTCATACATCAAGTCTGGGACAGGGCCGAAGAGGAGCTGACAGTGTTCTGACCCAGAACAGGGACGGGTTTTGAAGCAAGGATCTTTTTTTCCCCTAAGGTCTTATTTGTTTGCTTTTAATAAGGATAAACAAGGTTGCTCCATATGCAAATAAGGAGCTTTCGTTAAAGTCCTGCAGGCCTGGGTCAGACACTTACAGCTTTCCAACTCGGGGCCCTGAAGAGTGTGTACTCGGCGCCCGGGGAGGAAGCAGTTGGGGAGGAAGCCTGCAGCCTCTGGCCATCACCCCACACCCTGCAGGCTCTTTTGGCTTTCCCTACGGCACCTCATGTAAAGGACACCCTCTTTGCAGTGACCCCATTTCTAGATGATTTTCACAGGGGCCAGAGACTTGCTCCTGTTCTAGCTCAGAGGACTTTGGCCCCGGGCCTGCCGATGAGCACACACTTTCCCCTCCTCCACCTGCGGACACACCAGCTGACCCAAGAGATAATCTCATTTACAAGCCCCTGAGATCCGGCACCCATCCTGCCAGTCAGCTTGTGAGTCTAAGTCTTGAGTCAGGATAGGGGGTGAACTTGAACCCTTGCTAGACATTTTGAAATGAGTGTGGGTGTGTGGTGCTGTTGGCGCCAAAGCCCCTGCACTGGGAGTTCCTGGGACTTCTGGTCACTGGTCTGTGAGACACTGAGAGCATGGACTTGTCCCTGGGACCCATGCCCTGCGCTTCCCGGACTCTCTTGTACCCCAGTTATGTTCTTTTCCCCCTTTGAATGCCTCCTGTCTAGGGACTGGTATAGTGTAATAATCCTGTGTTAATCCCTCTCTCCCTCCTCCACACCCCTTCTCTGTCTCTAACACACATACCCACACCCCTCTTTCTCTCTCCTGTCACTGGTCTTGGCACCTGCATGTTCCATCCTCCTGCAGTCCTCCTAGGTGTGGTGGAGAAGCAGCTCCAGAATGAAGTGTTTCAAGCTGAGATGGAGCGCAAGCTGGCCCAGCTGCTCAGCGAGGCGTCCACGCGGAGACGCATGTGGCGGAGGGCCACGGTGGCCGCGGGCAACAGCGTGGTGCAGGTACCGCGGGCGGCCGAGGAGGGGTGGTGGGAGAACCAGCCAAAGAAGAGGCCCTGTTTTCATGCAGATGGCAAATGCCACGAGGACTTTCTGACCTGGCTGATTCTATAGTAGGGAGCCCCTGAATGTGGCAACATTTCAGTTCGCTGGAGTCTAGACAGACATCTCTGAGGCCTCGCTGAGGGGTCGGTACAGCAGCGGGCCTCAGGGTGAGCACAGTGACGACCTGTCACTCGGCTGCCATGGGGTTACCTTCTCACTCACAGGAGGTTTTTCACGATCAGATATGTAGTCAGTTTCAGGGAATGCTGAGTATCATGGATCGTATCGTAGGGATCAATTATTCAGCGGCAAGAAATCTAAGAGATCACAAAGAGGAAAGTTTTCTGCCTGCTGCTCTAGCAGTCTCCTCCCCACCTCCCCCTGGCCTTGGCTATGCCTTGTTAGCCCAGGTTTTCCGCATTTTGTAAAAATGGCAGCAGAGTTGCAAATGGCAGATACATTTGAATTGAAAAATGACCTGTTTTGAAGAGCATATACTCACAGAGTTGCAAGTTGGGGCTGTGATATATTTCCATCTCAATGTGAATTATTCTTGTGGATTTTTTTCTTGACCAACTGCTGACTTGTAGAGATAGGGAATGGGGTATTTAGAGTGATGGCATTTTGGAGACAGGAAACCAGGGTGAAACCCTGACTGCAGGGGTGGGGAATGGAGGTTTTGGAGGCTTTAGAGAGAAAGCCCACAGCTGACCCTGGGGAGGGAGAGGTGGCAGTCTTGCTGAAGCTGGCATCCGCTTCCTCGAGGTCCTTGACCAAACTTCCCCCCTTGAACTTTGCTGTGTCTCCCCCAAGAAAGGTGGCTGTTGGGTTACTAAAATAGTTCCTTTGCCAGGTGCAGCAGAATATAGAGAAATATGAAAAAATGAATCAAAAATTGAAAGTAAGATTAAATGAAGATAAAACACAGAATGAAAATGATTTCTAAAACCTTCACCTTATTCAGCAGCCCTGGCTTCATAGAACTTGAGGTCTGGGTGGAGGTGAGTCATGCAGATAAAGAGACACACAGCAGTGTGCACGTTCTGTGAGGCGGGAATGTGGGATTTATGAAAGGGGCATAAGCCACCCCAGGCCATCGTCCACGGGCTGGGTAGCTGTGACCCCATACCCTGCTTCTCTCCACTGTCTGGCTCCCAAACAGAGATACAGACAAGACATATACAGCAGGATAGTAAAAGTGGAAAAATATGGAAGTAACCTAAATATCCTACCAATGGGACATGGGCAAATAAATCAATTCTGGTGAGTCTTTGTATGCTGAAATATTATGCAGCTCTTCTCTTTTTAGAATTAGTGAGTGATAAAAAGGCTCAAGGGAAGAGAGGCTACAAAGGAAGGCATGCAAAGCCACCTTGATATTTATATAAAACTCAGAAAAATGTAATGGAAGGAAAGACACCAACATTTGTGCGATGGTTTTCCTTTTTTGGTTGATGGACTGTCAAATGATTTTTCATTTTATGCTTTATGCAGTTGTGTGTGTTTTTCAAAATTTCTTCAGTGAGCATGTGCTTTCCAGAGTGAGCATGTGATTTTCATCAGAAAATAAATAAAAAAATGAAATTGGAGATCTTGCCCAAAATGATGACTCCATCCTTCATACCAGGGGGGTATGGGTTCCAGGTATGAATCTGATAAGAAGTTGTCTGGAACGGATGCAGATATTAGAGTTTTCTGATGATTTCTTTCAGATTGGGCAAGGTTGTAGAAGGGGATTACTAGATATTTTGGGCATATGGCTTCTGCAAGAAGTTTCTAAAACTTAACAGAACTTTTCAATAGAAGCAATAGGAACTTGAATAGAGAGGCCAGGGGGTATCATCAACTTGCGTTTCACTCTCCCTTGGATGAGATTCATTTTAAAGGTTGAGCAAAGACTAATCCCTCTAGCACATTTGTGGGGGAGGGGTGGGTGTTTAGGGAACAGAAGTGGTCTGGCCTAGGATTGCAAGCAAAGGACAGGACAGCGGTGGAGAGGTTCAGAGAACAGATTCTCCAGGGATGAGAGTGTGGATCTGTATTAACAATTTGTGTGCACGGTCTGGAAGAAGGCGTTCACAGTGAAATCATGAAGTTGCTGGTTTGCCAAAAGTTTCCTGCAGTGAAGTAGGAGGTCCAGCGGTCGTGTCCCGAGTGCAGGGCAGTATTACACAGCTGTCCACGTGGTGGAAAAGCAGCTGCTGCATTTTGCCAGTAGTTAATGCAGAGACCAAAAAATTACATTGTGCGTGTAAAATTGAGGATTCTGCATCATCGATCATTTCCCCAGAGCAGCAGTCTGGCGTTTTGCTGGTGTCTGAAAGGGGCAGTAAAATTGTATATATATTATTAAGAGACAGAACAACAAAATAGAAAACTGTATTTATGCAAAACTGTGATCTATCAAGGGTACTAAATTCTGAAGTACTAATTAAAGAAGGATACCATTAACACCAGAGTGATACATTTCAGGACAAATCAAAGTGCTGTCTCACCCAGCAGACTGAATTTATGATTTTTCTCCAGCCTGATTGAGAGATACTGACATACAGCATTGTGTAAGTTTAAAGTGTACAATGTGATCATTTGACTTATATGTGGTAACATAATTACTGCAACAAGGATAGTAAAAATTCATCATTCATACAGCTCCCTTTCCATGTGCGCTGAGAACTTTTAAGATCTACTCTCTTAGCAATTTCCCAGGATACAATATTATTGTTTATTACAGTCACCATGTGCTAATTTAGATCCCCAGAACTTAAAACTGGAAGTTTGCTCCTTTTGACCCACTTCACCCATTTCACTACCACTTGCCCCTGGCAACCACCAATCTACACTCAGTTTCTATGAGTTTGACTTTTTAAAATTCTACATATAAGTGACATCAGCCAGTATATGTCTTTCTCTCTCTCATTATTTCACTTAGTATAATACTTTCAGGATCCATCCATTTTGTTGCAAATGACAGGATTTCCTTTTTTATGGCTAACTAATATTCCCTTCGTGTGTGTGTGTGTGTGTGTGTGTGTGTGTGTGTGTGTGTGTGTGTATTTTCTTCATTCATGCACAAATGGACATCTAGGTTGGTTATGTAAGTAATGCGCAGTGAACACAGGAGTGCAGATGTCTCTTCAAGATAATATCATTTCCTTTGGATCTATACCCAGACGTGGGATTGCTGGATCATATGGCAGTTCTATTTTTAGCCTTTGAGGCCCCTCCATACTGTTTTTCATAGTGACTGCACCAATTTACAGTCCCCCAGCAAGGGTTACCTTTTCTGCACATCCTGACTGATACTTGTTATCTCTTGTCTCATAATATCTGCTGGTGCTTTTGATTTACATTTCCCTTATTAGTTGTATTAGCATATTTCTATGTACTTGTTCGCCATTTGTGTGTTTTTTGTGGAGAGAAATCATTAATTTTTTTGGCTGAGTCATGAGTTTCCTACTTTTTTTGGATATTAGATATATCATTAGAGCTATGATTTGCATTTTCTCCTATTCCGTAGATTATTTTAATTTTGTCAATTATTTCTTTTGCTATGCCAAAGCTTTTCAGTTTGGTATCATTTTTTGGTGTAGTCTTTAGCATTTTCTGTGTATAAGATCACTCCATCTGCAAATGGAGACAATTTTACTTCTTTTTTTGGGATTTGGATTCCATTTATCCATCTGTCTGTCCATTTATTTATTGCCTGATTACCCTGGCTAGGTTTTTTGGTACTGTGTTGCATAGAAGTGGTAAGTATGAGAACCCTTGTCTTACTCATGCTCCTAGTGGAAAAGCTTTCAACCTTTCACCATTGAGTATGATGACAACTGTGGGTCATCATATATAGCCTTTATTATATTAACACATGTTTATTCTATACTCAGTTTGTTGAGAATAAATGTTGGATTTGATCATATGCTTTTTCTACATCTGTTAAGATGATTGTGTGATTTTTATCTTTCATTTATTGTGATGTATCACACTTATTCATTTGTACATGTTGAACCATATGCATTCTCAAGACAAATCTCAGTTGAGAATCATAGTGTATGATCCTTTTAATGTGCAGTTAAATTTGGTTGGGTAATATTTTGTTAGGAAATTTTGCATTTATATTCATCAGAGCTATTGGCCTTTATAACTTAATTTTCAGTAAGTTCCATGTCTGGCTTTGGTATCAAGGTATTGCTGGTCTCTTAAAAAGAGTTTGAGTGTATTTCTTCCTCTTCAACTTTTGGGAACATTTTGAGAATTAGTCGTTAAATGTTGGTGGAATTTATCAGTGAAACCATCTGCTCCTGGCCTTTCCATATTTGGCAGTTTTTCATTACTGATTCAGTTTTGCTATTGATCTGCTCATATTTTCTGTTATTTCATGATTCTTTCTTGGTAGGTTGTATGTTTTTAGGAGTTTTCCATCTCTTGGTTTTCCAATTTATTGGTGTATAATTGTTCATAGTAGTTGCCGATGATACTTTGTATTTCTGTGATATCTCTTGTTATGTCTATTGCTAATGATTTTTATTTGTGTTCTCCCTCTTTATCTTGGTTAGTCTATTTTTTTAAAATTTATTTTATAAAAGCACTGGGGTACAGACCAGAGGAGCGGGAGGGTTAGTCTAGCTAAAGTTCTGTCATTTTCATTTCTTTTCAAAAGACCAACTTTTAGTTTTGTTAATCTCTTCTGTTGTTTTCCAATTCTTTTTTTTTTTTTTTTTTTTTTTTTGTGGGACCCTCGCTGGTGGCCGGGGAACGAACCAGTGCTGCAGAGGCTGTGGGCAGCCTCGCAGCCCAGCGCTCAACCGCTGCGCCACCAGGGGAGGCCCTGTTTTCCTATTCTTTATGTAATTTATTTCTGCTTTTATTATTTCCTTCCTTCTGCTGACTTTGGGCTTAATTTGATCTTCTTTTCTCTAGTTGTTTGAGCTGTAAAGTTAGGTTGTTCATTTGAGATTTCTTTTTTCTTGATGTATGCCTTTATAACTATAAACTTTGCTCTTACCACTGCATTTGCTGTATCCCATAAGTTTTGGTATGTTGTTTCTTCATTTTTATTTGTTTCAAGATTAAAGAAGTTCTCTTTAGATTTCTTCTTTGGTTCATTGGTTGCTCAGCAGTGTGTTCATTTTCGGGCATTTGTGAATTTTCCAGCTTTCTTCCTACTATTGATTCTAGTTTCACACCTTTGTGCTTAAAAAAATACTTGATGTAATTTCTGTTGCCTCAAATTTATTGAGCTTTGTTTTGTTGTCCAACTTATGGATTATCCTAGAAAATGTTTCATGTGGGCTTGAGAAGACTATTCTGATGCTGTTGGGTGGAATGTTTTTTTTTTTTAATATATATATATATTTTTTAAAAAGCATGTATTATTTATTTATTTGTTTGTTTGTTTGTTTATACAAGCACTGGGTATAGTCAGAAGCGCGGGAGGGTGAGAGAATTCACCAGAGCGGGGAGCAGAGCAGGCAGAAGGACTGAAGTACACTGCTGAGGGGAGCAGCGGGCGGCAGGAGAGGTCTGCGCGCCATGTGGGACTCTCCTCTGGTGGCCGGGGAGCAGCCAGGGATCGAACTGGCGCTGCAGAGGCCGCGGGCAGCTTCGCAACCCAGCACTCAACCACTGCGCCACCTGGGAGGCCCTGGGTGGAATGTTTTTAAATGTTGATTATGTCCATATAGTTTAGAGTGTTATTCTAATCTGCTGTTTCTATGTTGATTCTCTGATTTACCCATTGATGAGAGCTGGCTATTTAAGAATTTATGAGATTCATTATTCTGAGAGTAGTGATTCTCAGTGGGGCTGATTTTGTCCTCCTGCCCCCTGCTTTCAGGGTTCATTTGGTAATGTCAGGAGACAGTTTTGGTTGTCACAGCTGGTGAGAGGGGAGGGCATGGTTGTTGCACTGGCCTCTAAACAATATAGGGCAAGGTCGCTGCTAAACACCCTATAGTACTTGGGACAGCCCCTATGTCAAATAATTATCTGGACCAAAATGATAGTAGTGCCAAGCTTGAGAAATTGTGCCTTGAATAACAGGGAGAAAATTCTAATAGATTCAAGAAGGGCTTAGATAGACGCAATAGTACTTTCAGAGAACCAGGAATGTACCTGACACTATAGTCGATGATGGGAGGACAACAGTTCTCTCCCATGGCATGTGGGTAGCAATTCTAGACAGACCAGACTCTGCCATCCTATGTGCTCTGTACACTGCTTGCCCCTTTGTCTCAGAAAAGACTTGGAGCAACATGAAGTCCATTTGTTATTTCACATAGAGGCACTTGCATTTTTACTGTCCTCCTGTCCATCAAGAGCATCGTAGGGATTCTGGAACCTGGAATGGTATGTGCAGCTTAATAAGAGGGCTGGAGTAAATCCTGGCTAGCACAGTCAGGACTGAGTGTTTAGAAACCTGAGCTTCTAAATGCTAATGGTTTCTGTTATCTTTCAGGTGGTAAATGTGTCCAGGCTGGAGGGAGATGATAATCCTGTGCAGCTCATTTACTTTGTGGAGGATCAAGATGGAGAAAGACTCAGTGCAGTCAAGTCTTCAGATCTGATTAACAGGATCGATATCCAGAGAGCAGCCATTATCTTGGGTTACCGCATTCAAGGCACTGTTGCCCAACGTAAGTGTGTGAGACGGGGCCTCCCATGGCTGGCTGTGCTGTGCTGGGTTGACAGTGAACTCAGAATTTAAAACATTATGTTTTAAGCCCTTGTTTGGAAGTGTCACTTATATAAGATCTCAATGGTTAAAATTCATTTGCCAATAGTTTTTTTCAGTTGCTTGGAGCTGGAGTCCTTGCTGCTGGTTTTTCTTGCTGCATTTTGTGTTCCTAGTGTTACAGGGAGTTACGGTAGCTGAACTTTAATATTTCTCCCCCACTCTTGTCCTATTTCTCTTTTGAAAGAAACATTTTGTCCTAGGTAAAATAACACGCGTTCTCTGTGTGTATTCCAGAACCTTACGTGTCCTATTTTGACCGTTGGTGGGGACGGTGAGTCACGCAGGAAGCTGGGAGGTGCCCTCTGCATTTGCTGGCTTCCTTCTGAGTCTTTGAACACAAAGACACCCTTGATCCTTACCCTGTTCTGTCCTGCTTTTCTCCCAACCTCTCCTTATGCCACTCCACAATTTAGAAAGAGGCGTTTTGATATTTCTTTATTTTTATTGGAAGATTCTTGGCTCCTGACCCCCCTGGCAGTGGTCACCCTCGGTGCCTTTTTCTCCAAGTCACGGATTTGGGGGTATTTAAAATGAAGAAAAGGGAGAAACCCAGAAGGGTGTATTTCTGTCCATCTACCTTCGGGAATGAGACTATTTCTGTAATCTAGATGTGTTTTCCTTTATGATTCTGGAAGCCGACCTCAATGGTAGAGGGAAAGCAACTGTTTGGAAGTGCTCAGCATCAGAGAACATTGAGAATGCTTTAAAGAGGACATGGAGGGCATCAAGGCAGTTTGTAAGAATGAAATGACCCAAGGGCTCATGGATAGAGGATTGGACCAAGAAAATGTGGTTTGTACCACATGGAAAACCACTCAGCTGTCAGGAAAGAGCATTTACAGCTAATTGGAAGAAGCTCGAGGGAATGATCTAGAGTAAAGCAGAGCAAAAGATAAAGACAAATATGGGCTGTTTCCATATATGGGGTAAAACAGGCAATCACAGTGATGCATTGATGAAGCAAAATAATTACAAGTGGTGGACATTCATCAACCAAGTGAGGTTTCTGAGGTTAAAGCGTGGGCGGGGGTGAGGGAGAAAGGGTCGGAGGGGATATAAGGGATGGAGGTGGGGAGAAAACAGACAGACAGACAAACAAGTAGCGTACCAGAATGACAGTTTTGAAATTATCCTTGGACGTGGAAAATTCTTGGTGAAATCTACACTTGTCCCTGGACCCTAGCCAGGAGGAAGGCTAACGCCTCCGCCCACCACTGCCCTTCGTGGATGATGGTGGGGGACATAAGCAAAGCGCTGAGTGGTTTGTGTGTGTTTAAGACAAGGTTGTGTTCACGTGTTCCTTTTCAAAGGGGTGAGGAGCTGAAACTCGAGAGCTTTCAGTGCTTCATCGACGGCGTTTCACGAGCCGGGCTGTGCCCTCCAGCTGGGCACGTCTCTGTCTTTTTTTTTTTTTTTTTTTAAAGATTTATTTATTTATTTATACAAGCATTGGGTACAGTCAGAAGTGCGAGAGGGTGAGAGAATTCACCAGAGCCAGAGCGGGGAACAGAACAGGCAGCTGACGAAATACACTGCTGAGGGGAGCAGCAGGTGTGGTGGGAGAGGTCTGCGCGCCATGTGGGACCCTGGCTGGTGGCCAGGGATCGAACCGGCACTGCAGAGGCTGCGGGCAGCCTCACAGCCCAGCGCTCAACTGCTGCACCACCAGGGGAGGCCCATAGGCATGTCTCTTTTGAAGGAAGATGAATGGCAGTAGGGTCTGGCCGCCTCGCAAGACCCTATCTGCTTTTCCTGCCTCTCTCTCCTCAGTTTCATGCTAAAACCCACCGTGGCCACAGTCCTGGGATTTCAGGATTGGTAGGAGGAAGAAGTGGGAGCCAACACCAGGGCCACCCCAGGCATTGTGCACCCCGGTGTTGGCCCCATGTGGATCCATCTGTGCTTCTCACAGGGTCTGCTGGGTCAGGACAAAGAGGAGTATCTTGCTCCAGCTCCTCATTTGGACTCTGTCACCCTTCTCAGTGGTTTTCATGCAGAGTGAACTATATCCAATTTAAAAATACAATTTTTAGCACTTGGTCTCTTTTTCCATGTTCCACGCAGCCTCTGTAATTTGTTACCACCACGTGTCAATTTCCCACCATCTTTCCACAGAGCTTTTGCTTCAGAGGGCTTGCTCTCCGCCTTTGTCACCCCCTCAGGAGCTGAACCCCCAACTTAAACTGGCACCCAAATCTCCTCTGCTGTTCCATCTTTGAAGAGAAACATTTCTATCTCTGTAGCATGTGTTAACCATTATAAGATGTGAAAAGAGCATAAAACTTGGTCCCTGTCCATGAAGACTGAGACATATTTGAAAAGACAAGACTCAGCGTCAGTGACGGATGAGCCAGGCAGTGTGCTGATGCAAGATGATGGTTGTGTGTGATGAAATGCACTGGAAAAGGATAGTCAGGAACGGCGGATAGTCAGGAACAGCGGGACGTACCAGGGGGCACTGGTGTTGGCTGCGCGGTTGTGATGAACAGGCCCTCGGAGTTGCTCCGAGTTGCCTCGGAGTTGCTGACATAAACACTCTGGGTGGAGCCTTGTCCATTATCTGTTGCTTCAATAAACCATCAGAGGACAGCGACTTCGAGTCCAAATTAGGATCCTCCCCCAGCTGGGTGGCGAGGCTGGGTGCCAAGGGGGGTTGTTGTCTGGGGCCTGAGTGCCAGGAGGACCCGCAAGAGCAGAGCTTTGGGAGGAGGCGAGTCCTGTGAGTGGGTGTGGAATGAAGACCAGGGCCCTGTGCTGGGAGGTGGGATTAGGGGAGGGAGCTGGTGAAGAAGATGGAGAAGGACAGAGTAATTGGAGCATAATCATCCTAGGCCCTAAAAGATGGGGGGCTGAGGTGGGGAGAAGGGGTGGCAGGAGGGTGGGGAGTTGCAGATTCAGAAAGAGTCATATCGATTCATTGTCATTTAAAAATGGATGCCCGGTGCCTTCGATAAAGCAGTTTCCATGAAAAGCCCTGTTTCAAGGGTTGGGGGGACACAAGGGAGGAGATTAAGGCAGTGCTCTTAGACTGCTTAGTAGGATTTCTGATTCAGTGGGGAAGCATTCCTGTGTGAGAATGAAGGGGGAGCCTGGAGTTCACCTGGCCTCGCTGTCAAATTGGTTCCATTCGTCTGGCTGCATCATGTGTCCTCAATGCCTCCTGGGGCTGACTTTCTGTGGGGTGTGCTGGGACTCCTGTCCCCAGGAGATGTAGCCTCTCACCAGTTGTCTTGAGCTGAACTGACAAGAACTTTGCAGGTTTCACGTGCACAAAGGCACGTTCGCTCCACAGAAGGGCTGTCTGGACAGGAGGAAGAATGACGGAGCCTCCTCTTCTTCATCTGCAGCCGTGGATAGGGTGAAGAGGCCATCCCCCGAGTCCCAGAGCAGCAACCTGTGGGTCATAGTCGGCGTGGTGATCCCAGTGCTGGTAGTGCTGGTCATCGTGGTCATCCTCTACTGGAAGCTCTGCCGCACGGACAAGCTGGACTTTCAGCCTGACACCGTGGCCAACATCCAGCAGCGCCAGAAGGTAAGGGTGTGCCCTGCCCCCCGACACGCGGCATCTGGGCTGGGAGTGGTGGGGAGATGTGCAGACTTGGTGCCAAACGACTGGGAGGTCCCGTTTAGGACGCCTTGTGTCCTCTGTGGCACGTCCCTTCTCCTCCAGGCTTGCTGCCTGAGAATTCAGACCTATTCAAACCCCCGATATTTGCAGAGATTAGGAGCTGTGGGAGGTTTTTTTCAGGCCTGCGTCTCTTCCTTACACACACGCCTCCTCTTCATGGCTCCTGTGTGTTCCATCCACCTCCTGCAAGCCTGGCTACCCACCCTGACTGAACTCCTTTGTCAGTAAAATATGGTAGAACATGCCTTACACATTCTGACTTAAAATGTATAACTAGGTATTTATTGGCTAATCTTTCAAGGAGGGGGGGTGGGGTGTGTGTGTGTGTTTTGGAGCAGTTCCGTTCTGGGAGGAATTGTCTGTGGTCTTTGCTGGAGTAAGCATCACCCATAAGGCACCAGCTGCAGTTTCCAGTTTGGGTTTCTGTAGAGAAGTGCAGCCTGAGTGCAAAACTCTAGATTGTTTTTCCAAACCCTCCCCAGGTATTGGGTGTAAGTGAATTTAGAGCTATTTTGACAGCAGTTTCTTTTCTTTTTCTTTTTTTTAAAGCAACTCCTTTGACATGTCTTTCCAAAGCATTCATCTAGTTTTTATACTGACAGCCATTCTCTTCTCGGGCTTAGGTGCCAGCAGTTTCTGTAGTATTTAATTGTCACATACAAGTTTTAGAGCAAGAAATTGGCTCTCAGTCGTACCTAGCTCACCTGGGAAGGAGGACATGTGCCCGAGTCCCAGAGGGTCCCTCCCGCAGCTGCGGCATGGGCCCAGCGTGCAGACCAGCCAGCCCCAAGGGAATGGGCGGGGGTAACCACTGTGAGGTGTATTAACATGTGCCCTCACTGGAATTCTCGGATTTCGAGCACTAAATCCACTTTAAAAGTGAAGTAAGAAAAAGCAAGCAAGCAGCAAAAGAATAAGAAAGAAAAAGGCTTGTTCTATGAATCTTTTACTTTTCTTCTGATTTGATATAAAAACTGTGCATTGCACTTCGGGGAAGTGCCCGGAAGTCTTTACCAGCTAAATGAAGAAATACATGCTTTAAATTTATTTGCCTTTAGTAAAAGTCAGTAAAGAGTATTTTTCTCATTCTTAACTACGAAATGCAGACCCCTGATTACACTGTCAGCTTGTGGTGAGGAAGTCTATCAGAAGCTTTTACCCCCTAATATTGTATTTATCACCTGTCTGATTTATTATTTACATAGTCTGCTAAGCTTGTTTTGTTGTTAGACAAGTGAATAACATGGGGAAAACCTGGAAAAAAGGACTCGACACGCTAAATGATTCATAGCGTGCATTTAGTAGAATTAAGATCAACAGCAGGTTTGGCAACACTATTGTCCTGGACTAAGGAGTGTTGTTACGGGGAGATTAACCTGCAGAGAGGGTTCCGTGTGTCAGCCTTTTATGCCTCGGAGTTGCTGACATAAACACTCCGGGTGGAGACTTGTCCATTATCTGTTGCTTCAATAAACCATCAGAGGACAGCGACTTCGAGTCCAAAGTAGGATCATACCCCAGCTTTCTCCTCCACTTTCACTTCCGAAGTATTTCCACGTCCCAGATGTGGCTATAAATCAAGCAGACAGTTTCACATGGACCTGCCAGCCTTTGGCGTTTGCTTTCCTGCCAGCGCCCTGAGATCTGTGTGCAGCCTGGACAACATGTTTACGGGAAAAAGGGCTTCTGCGCGGAAGCTTCCCTGAGAGCAGCTAGTGTCTCCAACGCTGTTGGCAGGACAAACCCGGCAACGTCGCCACAGGAGGGGCTTGGTTTTGGGGGCACCAGAGCCCATCCCGGAGATCTGGTGGCCCACACAGTGGCAGTAAGAAAATGAGGAGCTCCATTTACTTTAACAACAAGCAGCTCCGCTTGCCCGCGTGTCATGGGGGGTGAGCTGGCAGCGTGGGGGCTCCCGCCTGCGTCTGGGCAGCTGGGAAGTCCCTGCCTCGCGTGACTGCAGGGGTCCTCGTTCCCCTGCTGTGCTCCGGGCGTCTGGCTCTATGCTGCTCACCCGCCCCACGCCGCTCCTCTCCGAAATCCTCTAGCAAATCCCAGAGCTGGAACATCTGGAAGCAATAAATCTGCTGACCTAAAATCCACACCCCCTTCTCCTTGTAATGAGCAGGAAACCTCTCCAGATTGTCTGGGAGGAGATTAGTTTGGAAACAGGATAAGAGGGAGAGGCTGTCCTGTCGTATTTTGAGGCTGGGTCCTTTATGATTTCTACGAATCAAGGAGCAACCCACCTAACCCGTGTCTTTCGCTTGTCTGTATTCTCTTTGCCCTGGAGCCCGAAGTCACTTGTTTCTGTTCCCCCAGAACTCTGGGTTGGGCCTGCCTCACCCTGTGGAGGTTCTATTTAAAGATCTGGACGGCTCTGCTAGATGCTGCTGGTGCCGCAGAAACTTGTCCTTCTGACGGGGACAGTTGCTGCCCTGTCATTGGTGCAGGACCCTGGCTCCTGGCCACTGGCACTGTGGGCACCATGGAGCGGCCCCAGCACTGTGTGTGCATCCAGTAGACACCGGGCATTGGCTCTGGGCCAGGCCCCTCACACACACAGACCACTGCGAGGGCACACGGCAGGGACACACGGCAGGGCACATGGCAGGGACCAGGACAAGCAGTGCCAGAGCCAACCCAGCATTGGGAGTCTGTAGGGTGCTGCGGGAGCACGGAGGAGTGGCTGCTGCCCTTGCATAGGTGCTGGGCTGCTTCTGCCTTCCTGGAGCAGGTGATGCTGAAGCTCTGAGGTGGAGCAGGGGAGCCAGAGAAGGGGCTCAGGTGGAGGGAATGCCCATAACTCAGGATGAGAATGGACCAGACGTAGAGAAGGACACCCCAAAATGGAGGGCACGGTGGTGGGCACGGCCAGGTGCAGGGGCCTATGGGACACATTAGGGGCTGAAGAGGTGCTGAGGGCACTGGGGAGCCCCTGAGGCTGTCTCAGTAGGGCAGCGGCCTGCGCAGGGTCTGGCCTGGGACTGTCCTTTGGCCACGCGGACAATGGATTGAGAAAAGCTGCCAAACTCAGCTCATCAGCTGCCCTGGCTCTTTGGTTCCCTGCAAGGGTGCCTTGAAGTCTTACTGGTGGGCAGTTCAGTCTCCGCAGGGCCGGGTCTCACGGTGGCCTGGGGCAGGAGATCAGCGTGCTGCGCTCTCAAACTCCCAAGCCCCAGAGCTCCAGGGCTTGAGGGAGACAGACGGCTTGTTGGCCTACACTCTGGAAGGACGTTATGGGGTGGTGCTGGGTCTCAGGGAGCACCCCCCAAATAGCCACACTGGGGCTGCCCTCTTGAGAGCAGATGTGTATTTGTTCAGACACTTGTAGGATTGGCGCTGTGGTTTCCCTTGTTATGTTACTGCTCCTTCCTGGGGGCTCAGCCTGACGGGTGCTGGGGCCTTCGCTCTGCCCGTTCCATCTGGGCCACGTTTTATTCATGGCTGAGTGCGTTCGTCTCTCCGGCTGCCTGGCTGACCTCCCTGATTTGTGGGCAGTGCGTCCCAGTGCGGCACCGACAGTAGGGACTGCCCCTCTGTGACAAATTAAGGGAAGAAGGAACAAAAGAACTCTCTTCCCTCAGAAATAACTGGGTCCCAAGATGGACGGGGAAGGCACTCGCTGGTCATGGTCCTCCTTCATGAACTACTGATTCACACTACACCGCACGGGGGCTGAAGGAGCTGGGGGTGCGATACAACCAGACCTTTTTGTTTCCCTTAAAGAAATGGGGAAACTAGAAAAAGTTCCAGAAAGTGGAGCTGAAACAAAAGGAGCTGATTCCATAAGTGGCAGAGGCTGTGTTTCCTCTAATTTTTTCCTTGTGTGTGGAGGGCTTTTGTTTGGGGCATAAGCACAGATTGGTTGCCAGACTTCTATTGTCATGGAAGTTGGTGACTCACCAGCTTGGAGAAGTACAAGGATTTAATGGATATATTTAGAGACCAGTGGAATCACAATCAGCCTGCAGGACGTCAAGGCTATTATGATGGGTATTTCATCCAAGACAGGCACCCTTTTCTCAGTTCCCCACAAAATCCAGCAAGTTTGGTGTTTCGGTTGGCTTTTGGATAGTCTCTAAGGGTCCACCATGTGTCACACCCTTTGCTGAATTACACAGCCTGGTATCTCAATTCACGCCTCTGGCTGCATCTGCTGGGTGCGAAGGCTGAGCCCACAGCTTAACTGCTGGTTCTTTGTCCACGCACAGCGCTGCCATCGGTCTTTTTCGTGTGAAGCATCTCAACCTTCCATATGTGTCTCTCTCATGAGCCCTGAGGGGTGGCCAGGAAGGTATTTGGTTCCTGCACGTGGGGGTCCAGGGGCTGCACATGGAGGCCATGCTGTTGGCGGTTCTCTCTCCTTCACTCTGGAGACCTTTGCTAAGCACAGTGGCTCCTCCTTCCATTTTTTTTTTTTAAGATTTATTTATTTATACATACAAGAACTTGGGTACAGGTCAGAGGTGCAGGGGGTGAGAAGATTCACCAGAGACAGAGTGGGGAACAGAACAGGCAGATTGAGGGGAGCAGCTGAGGGGAGCAGGGGGGAGACAGGAGAGGTCTCTCAGCATGTGGGTAGCTCCCTGGCCGGGGATCCAACTCGTGCTGCCGTGGCTGGGGACAGCTTCACAGTGCTCTGCTTAACCCCTTGCACCACCAGGGAAGCCCTCTTCTTCCATTTAGAAAAAGAAAACATCACTTGCAAAAGCCATTGTTCCCCAGTCATTTAGACACATTTGCTTTCTTCTTGAAACAGACCCAAAAAGATTTTACCAAGGTTTATTCAGCAAGGGTGATGGTGATGATTCTGTGACAGTTGTTATATCTGTTACTCTTTTACTTAGAGGAACCTTGATTATGGAGCTAGAATAAGGTGGTGCTGGGGTAGAAGCAGCCCCATAAAACTGGAATTTGCTCACTGTAGGATTTTTATCTTCAGCTGTGAACAGTTCATATCAATTCTGATCTCCTCAGTCATCTCACAGAAGGCTTGCTAGATGGGCACTTGGGGTTGTTTTATGGCTGGATTCATAAATTTCATTCTGTGGTGAAAAGAGCATTTGCAATCATGTGTTTTGTAAGTTAGGGTAGCATTTCAGCCTCAGAGTGAGGGCTCGTCCTAATCACATGGAGGGAGTTATTCAAGTTCCACCATCCCCTCTTGTCTGATTTCCCCTCTACCCATTCACTCCTAGATGCTTTGCTCCTAAGAGTGCAGTGGAATCTTGGTGGAAATTTACAAGAAAACAGAGAAAGGTGTCAGACTAGTAAGTATGTGGTTTACAAAAGGCGTGTTGATGATTGCCGTTGAGTATGTTACTTACAGTAGAATCCAAATAGGGTCTTGCTTAATCTAAATCTCGTAAGTCCCGAGGGGTAATGAATAAACCAGCAGAGAAGAGCAATAAAAGACAGGGAGTGAGGGACTCAAATTTGGGGAAACTAAGCGTAAACTTAGTGGTTTCACATCATCTTTGGAAAGAAGGCAACGAAACCAGTCTACAAGTCGGAATACAGTGCATGTTCAAGAAAGTGTAAAGCACTAATTTAGCTCATCGAGATGTTCCTTTGAAGTTGGAATGTCGACCTTCCAGAAGTAAACATGCGGCCCATCACGCCTTGGTCCTTGGCCTTCCGACCCCACCTGAGATGGGGGAGTGGGAGCTGGTCAGCCCTGGATCGTCTCTGAGATGGGGCAACACGCACTAAGCATGCACTTGCTGGCACACGGTGTTTAAAGACCATGGACACCCCGATTTTTGGATGGATCAGGCAGAGCCTGGCGCCAGGTGAGATGAGACTGTGCCCCTGATGCCTTTTCCTTGTTCTCATGTTTCTTCCCGGGGAGGGATGCTTGCTTCGGTGTTTGAGAGACTGTTGAGGTGAAGTTGTTAAACAAAAACATCCCTTACCTGCTGCCCTCTCTGAAGGGCATATGAATGCAGGTCCTAACCTGGACTAAACTCTGCCAATCCTTAGCCACCTTCTTCCCTTAAAGAAACATAAAGCCTTATGAGTAGGTGATTGGATCATCATGAGAGATGCGCCTTTTGTCTTTTTATTGCTGTCCCAGACAGCTCTACCCCTCAAGACAGAGCCCACGGGAAGGTGCTGCATGGTTAGAGGTGGGCCTCTCTGTAGACTGGAGAAGGACACGCACGAAAAGTGAGGTAGGAAGGCGAGTGTGCGTGATATTCTGACCACAGGTCATTCTCAGGAAGCCCTCTTTATGTAAGAGCGTCCACAGAACTTGTCCATTGTCCAGGTACCAGTTAGATGAGAGTGTCTATAGAGGTTGTCCAGATATCACTTTAGGGGAGGGCGGCTAAGATCAGAGGTTGTCCACCTGGAATTCAGTTCCCTTAGAAGGACTGCAGGCCTCCAGGAAAGTGCACACTCCAGGGGTTCTGGGAGCCAGTTTAAGATGACTGTGTTACTCCACAGTCCAATGCGTGAGAAAATAAACCTCCTGGGTGACTGGGTGACTGGCGGTGGGGGGGGGGTGAGAGGCGGAATCAAGCATAGTGGCAGGTTTGGATTCATTGTCTGCTGAACAATGTTCCTGAGCTGAGGGGCGTGGAAGCTCACAAACTGCCCTTTGGTAGAGTTGCTTGCTTTTGTAACATGATATCATTCATTTAGAAAATATGGGCAAGTCAGTCTTTGCCTTTTGTTTCCAGGCAACACCTTTGTAAACTCTGCTTACAGTAAGTTTTGTCCCCCTCTGCCGGCGCAAATCATTATTGCAGATTGCTTTCCAGTTCCCCATGGATCCTAGATTTTTAGGGCTTAAAAAAAAAAATGTGAGAGCCTCCCCAGTGGTGCAGCTGGTTGAGCGCAGCGCTGTGAAGCTGTCCACAGCCTCTGCAGTTTTTTTGGTCCATCTGCCTGTTCTGCTCCCTGTTCTGTCTCTGATGAATCCTCTCACCCTCCTGCGCCTCTGGCCTGTACCCTAGCTTGTATAAATAAAATAAATCTTTAAAAAAAATCTGAGCCATTGGTATTGTCATTCATTTGTGCATAAAACCAGCTCAAGTATGACTGAAATTTTCCATGCTTAGTACAGTATCTATAATGACTCCTTGGGTTGCTTGGTTCTTGGCCCATAGGACTGTCTCTAGCCTGAGGGGCCCTTGAGACAACCGTGTCCTGCAGTATCTGCCTGTCCTCCACCAGCTGGACCCTGGCTCTTCCAGTGTGGTCGGGAATGGCGCTCCCCTTTGTGTTCACATTCCTGTGTGGCGAAGCACCTTTCCTGGCTTAGCACAGGCTAGGAAGCTGGACCCTGGGGGTGCAGGCTTATAGGGTCTTGGTTGTGGTTCCCCGGGTAGGATCCCCACATCCCGTGTGAGAGGTGGACCCTCTCCTGCAGCTTTGTGCCCATTGTGTCTGGGGCTACTTCTTTCTAGAAACTCTTTATCCCCTGGATTTCCATCGCACTGACCTTTGCAATTCCTTCAGTTTCTTTGAATCTCCTTCTGTTTCCTGCCTTTTGTCCTGTTCCCCCTCTTAGCCCCAGCTAGATGTTCTCCCACATTTTATCCCTAAAGGCCATTTTCATCTTAAAAATCTCAACTCCTCTACATGTCACCTGCTATACAGTCTTCAAAGTCGCGTCTGCAGCCCGAAAGGCCCCTCTGTCCCAGACCGTTGTCTTCTGTCTCAAGCTACTTTCCTTTGGGGCTTTTCCTGCCCTCTCAAACTGGCATGTCCAAGCGTCACCTGGCTGTCCAGGTGAACGTACCGGTCAGTGCATATGGCAGCCAAGCCCAGCCCAGAGTGATTGGAAGCACGTGTTTATGCTTCATGGGATCGTTACCCATATCTCCAGAGGAGATTATTTTCTGCTTTTCTTCAGAAACTGGAGGGGAGTGTGAGAGGGGAACAGGCGGGGATGTTCATGCAGACACTTCTATCACTGCCCAGTTCCAAGGAGAACAAATGTGTTTTCCACACTGGTCTCAAGCAGGGAAACGTGCCACACAGGAGCGAGTCCTGCTTCGTCACGCTTCATACTTGGGGTCTAATATTGATGAAAGCCCACACGTGTGCACAAGAAGGCAGTGGACCGATCTGGTGGCATATTACTTGGACTTGAGTGTTCCTAGGTTCTTGTTTGGGAAAGGACTTGAAATATAACTACAAGAGCACAAAAATTATTAATTTATTTTCTTTTATATATTTTTTTACATCATCATTTTTATACAGTGTTTGCCTTATCATCTCAGGTATGGTCCCCATGGAGTTCCTATCACCAATTCATCCATGTACCATCACCAGAGCACAAAATCACTTTAAAAAAAAAAAAAAAAAGAAAGAATCTCTCTCCTGGGCCATGCTTTCTGGGATTGCATAGCAATTGCTGTGGTTATGTTACCATGACAACGGAGCGGGTATCACCTTGTGACGTCTTGGGTGCTGTGGTCCTTGCACTTTTCCTCAGTCTTAATGATTCTCAAGTATCTCTGTTTTCTGCACACTCTGGGATAAGCAGCATCTTGCACCCAGGCACCCCTTGGAGGATGCTGGTTGGGTTGGGTGGAATTGCAAGCCCAGTGCTGTGAGAAGTCAGTGCTCACCAGCGCTCCCAGCTGCTCTTCACAGTACTGGGATTTCCGCTCGGCTGTGTCACCTGCGTGTGCGTCTGTTCTAGTTGCAGATCCCCAGCGTGAAGGGCTTCGACTTTGCTAAGCAGCATCTGGGTCAGCACAATAAAGACGACATACTGATCATGCACGAGCCGGCGCCACTGCCGGGGCCCGTGAAGGACCACACCACTCCCTCGGAGAATGGGGATGTGCCGAGCCCCAAGGCGAAGATCGTGGCGAAGACCATCCGTCACCGAGGAAGGTTCTTACTGGGCTTTCTCTGTTGTCCTGTACCCCGAGCATGCTGTTGTTTTCAGGGTGTCAGTGTCCAGTGCTGGAGGGGCTGTGGGTGTGCTGCCCTGTCTGCGGCCAGGGAGACTAACAATGGCTTCCCCAAAGTCAAGGAGGTCGCGGGCTGCTGGCCACTTGGTAGGCCAAAGTGGGCCTGATGCTTGCTTTACCAAAAGGGTTCAAGGTCATGCACCTCTGTGATGTGGGGATGGTTCCCGGGACTTGCTTTGGGGTTGACCAGCTTGATGTATATTTTCTGAGGTCAGCATGCCAGGCCCCTGGAGATGTATCACAAATAGGATGTGGGGGTGTGTGGTCTGTGGCATGCACTGGGCCAGCACGGGCTCTGACCTTGTCATCGTGTCTGGGGGACCATGTCACGCGCTGCTTTCTCTGCTGGGTTTTCCCCCCATAGTCTTCCTTGTTAGCATGTTGGCATGAGGCTCCTCACGGCTGCCTCCCTCCCCAGCAACCCATCACTTTATTTCATTTGTCCTGTCAAATAGAGCATGTGGATAACTTGTCATCAGATGGCCTGGGAGTCCTGAGTTGCCCTTGGGTCCCCAGAGCAGGGCCATGAAGGCCAAGTGCAGAAGCAGCTTTGACTAAATGGACTCTAGGTCATGACGTTCCATCACAGGGTTGCTCTTGAACCCTCAAATGATCAGCCTTCCTTTGAGCTTGGAGTTTCAAATTCTGATTTTCTGCTCAGAGGAAAAAGTGTATGATCACATTTGAAATGATGTTATAATTTCTGACTTATCAGAAAACCTACCCCATGGGGTTCTGACCTAGTTTTAAGAATTTGATGCTATTAGAACATGATCTTTACAAAAGAAAATGAGTGATGGAGAGAGATGCAGGCTAGGATGAAATCAGATCATTAAATTTAGTTCATAGGCTGGTACAGTCTTGCAAAGTATTTTTTTTCCCTGTGGTCTCATCCTAAGCATTCAGTCACGACATCTCAGTGGTTTGCAGGGCCGGCGGGTATTTGAGCATCTCTCAGGCACCAGAAAGTCTTGGCATCTCACACTGTGGTTGAAGCCAGGAAACACCAAGAACAGGAGAGCTATCTGGTTACAGATTTTCACTGGCGTGGTCCAACCTTTGCCTTCTCGTCTAGAATCAAATCTCAGAGGGGCCATTGTGGGGTAGGCCATTGTGAGTGTAGGCCTCTGGCAAAGCTCTGGACTCATGTAGGCTGATTGCAGAGCTTCCCTGGCTTCCTGGGGATTCTTTTGGCCCTTGAACCCTGAACCTGGCCTGAACTCACGCCCTCAGATCCCCCCTCACCCAGATCCCAGATCCCACCCTTGCCCAGATCCCTGCTGCTGGCCGGGGGAGTCAGGGACTGTCCTCCAGTTCAACCCTTCGTTTCTTTGCACTTGGAGAGAGGCGGCCCACGGTCCATTTCCTAAACAGGCTGTGTGGTCTGCGGCTGCGAGCTGTCCATGTGACCCTGGAGCACGCCGGGCCTCGAGATGATGTTTTGGGTTGTCCATTTCTACCGGGGTTGCCGGAAGCCTGGCTTCTACCACTGAATTAACGTGATTCTTTTCTCTCCCTTTCTTCCAACTTCCTAATGGCTGTTTTCTTGTGTGTGTGTCTGCAGAGTTTCTCCCTCAGATGCTGACTCGACAGTGAGTGAAGAGTCCAGCGAGAGGGAAGCCGCAGACAAGACCCCGGGAGTGGTGGCCGACGGGAAGCCCCACCGCGCCCCGCAGAGTGGTCTGTGACACCCCTCATTCCCTACCTTACCTTAGTCACTGTGCTCCCCACGGGAGGGCTCTCGGGGCTGCAAAGTGGACATTAAACAACAGCCCAGTGAGGAGATGTTCGTCCCGTGTGGGGAGATCTCAGCGCACTGCTTGGTTGCCCTGGTCTGGGGTCTGCTTGCAGACGGAGAACAGGGCTGGGGGTTCAGGATCTACCGAGGTCTGCTTTGAGGCTAATAGCCACATACTGTGCTTGCTTAGAGAGCCAACCATTTCCTCCTTGAGGGGCAGGAGGAATCGAATGAAAACCACAGTCCCCAAAACTGCCCCAAGGACCCAGTGACCTTCTTGGGAACCATTCAGTGGCCCAGCTGCCATGATCAGGCAGCTGTTTTTCAGGTGGTTTGGCATGTTTGCCCTTGGGGAGTCTGATGTGGTAGCCTCATGCGCCCCGAACCCCAGTCTGGACCCCAGCCTGCAAGCAGACACCAGAGCAGGGCCAACCGAGCAGCGTGCTGAGCCTCCGAAACCATCTTCACTCCTGCTGGAGAGTGTGTGGCTGGGAAATGCATGCCCAGTAGTAGAAGGAAGCCCATGTCTCATGAGAGAGGGGAGCAGTTTTTGGTACAGTTTTTGGTTTTGGTTTAGTAGTTTCTGTTAAGTGGATGTGCTGGTACAGCTGTTGTATTTGTGGGAGTTTTGTTTACATTTCAGGATTGTGTCTCAATAGTGCAAAGAAAATTGGCAGGCCTCAGGGTGTTTTTAATGCTAGCTTTTATTTCCCTGTAGAAAATGCAGGTGAGAGTAGTTGCAGAACAGATTCTGGGCGGAAGCGGGGAGCTTCTGTCTATGCCACATGCAGGTTTGCAGTCCCCAGAGCTATGGGCGCCACTGGGACCAAACTAGCTGAATTTTTAAGATTCCTTCCAGCTCCTTCCAGTTGTTGCTCTTATGATGATAAAGAAATACCCCCTTAGAATAAGAATTATTTAATTCTTTCTCTTTGGGTCCAGTTTTAGAGAATCCTTTTCCCCCCAATTTTATAAATTCCTACCTGTCAGTTATCACCATGTTACCGATGTGCTGTTTCTGATAGACAGGATTAAATTTTAATTCCTATCCCAGGGAAGAAATAGTTGAGACAAGCAAAAAGATGAGTCAACTCTGGATTTTCTGTTAATTGCTTGTCTTAGAAAATCTGGCTTTTCCGTTTAGCATTTAACTCGTATTAATATGACAGCATTATAACCAGTGTATGCTAAGTGGGTCACAAAAGTCAAATATCGCTCTCAACATATATCCCAAATCTCAGGGGCTAGCACTTCAGTGTGGGGGCTGGAAGGTCATGGGACCAGCTGTTCCTGGGAATATTAGAAGCTCAGCTGCTGCTGTTATGACTGGATGAGACATCAGTCCTAAGTTTCATATTTTAGAAGGATATTTTTCTCACTACAAATGTCAATTCCCTTTGAAAACTTTATTTCTTTAAGCTTTGATGCAGCCATAAAGGCATTTTTATGGCTTGCACAGAACTTCGTTAATACACTATTAAAAAAAAATTGGGTTTTTCATCATAGCTTTTCAGTTATTTTGTGACTCAAAATAAAATCCTTCTTCTGTTGCAAGTGATGATGAAATGCAGAGCAGGGAGGTGGGAGATGGCCTGAGAGCCACACTGGCGTCCCCCTGGCACCCTGGGACTCCACCATGGGTGGCATGGCATGGCCACTGGGGGTCTCTCGGCCAGGACACAACATCTGGCAATGTCAGAACCTGGCAGTGGAGGCTGAGAAAAGAAGTTGGTTTTGGTTTTGGTCATCTTGAGGTTGCACTTTCCTTCTGACTTACACTTTGGGGAAGGTGGGTAGGCACTGGGGACCTTCCACGTCCCCACCTAGCCCTGGGGTTCTTGCATGAATCCTCTTGCTCTCTGCTCGCAGATGTGCAAGGGTAGGGTTTTTAAGGGTGGAGTCAGATTTGCGTTCCTTACAGATTTGAGTTCCACATCTTCCACCTTCTAGAATGTGCCATGGGAACTCCACTGGCATCTACCTTTGCACGTGCTAACCAGGTTGCCGAGCACACAGTTTGATTACTTCTACTTTAAAAGTAGTACTCATTAGAGAAAATCCTCATGATACAAAATACAAGAAATTGAAGAAAATCACCAAGTATATCAAGATTCAGTCTCCGTTAGGATTTTTAAGTACTTCATGTCCATCTTTTTTCTACACATTTATTTTTTTTTTCTTTTTCACTGTTAAGATTACTTTTGGGGGAAAAAAATCACAGTGATAAAAGATACACATCATAAAATTTACCTTTTTAGCCATTTTTAAGTGTAGGCGTCATCTCTTTTTAAAATGCAAACTGATTCCCTGTGGGCAAGTTTTTTCTTCTCATGCTTCTTCAACTTAATTTTCTTCTTCCATCAGAACTGAAAGCTGAGTGTTCGCTGTTAATCAGTATGTAGTTTTGTGTCCCCAGTCTCCTTATTTGCTTGCTTAATGGCATAATCGCCTTGCTAGCCAAATGCAAGTCACTCCAAAATGACAGCAGACGTTCCGAGCCGCTATAACTTTTTCCAAAAGTTTCGTCAGTTGCTTGTTGACTGACAGACTTCAGGCTCAGCTCAATGTCCTTTGCCTTTTCTTCCTGAAAACTTTGAAACACCTTTAGACAAAACAGGGCAGATTTTGGACAAAGTGCCACAACTTTCACATCTTTTCCAGGGATGATTGATGTCACATGGGCTCTCTACCTTGCCTGAATTTCAGGTGTCCTGCTTTATGCTTCAACTTCTGGGATATTTGTAATTTTTAAAAAAGATTTATTTATTTATGCATACAAGAGCTGGGTACAGGCCAGAGGTTGGGGGGGGGGGTGAGAGGATTCACCAGTGACAGAGTGGGAAACATAACAGGCAGATCGACCAAAGTACACTGCTGAGGGGAGCAGCGGGCGAGTCAGGAGAGGTCTGCTGCGCCATGTGTGTTGCTCCCTAGCTGGCCGGGGATCAAACCCGCTCTGCAGAGGACAGCTTCACAGGTCAGGTTGTGCTCTAACCCCCTGCACCACCAGGGAGGCCCATATTTGTAATATTTTTTTTTTAAAGATTTATTTATTTATACAAGCACTGGGTACAGTCAGAAGTGCGGGAGGGTGAGAGAATTCACCAGAGCCAGGGCAGGGAACAGAACAGGCAGACTGACGAAACACACTGCTGAGGGGAGCAGTGGGCGGCAGGAGAGGTCTGTGCACCATGTGGGACCCTTGCCGGTGGCTGGGGATCGAACTGGCACTGCAGAGGCTGCAGGCAGCTTCGCAGCCCAGCGCTCAACCGCTGCGCCACCAGGGGAGGTCCCATATTTATAATTTTTAACAAGGCCAAGGGAGGCAGTATTTACCACAGCCAGTTTAAATAGTGAAGACTCAAATACTCAGCCACAGAGTTGGGGTGTGTTTTTGGATAGGAGCCCATCTGTGGATTCTGGAAGGGATAATCCATGTTAGTGGGTGTTGGCCCTTCTCTGGGGTGACGTTACTTGTCCTCCTGTCCCTCCATTCCAGGGCCACCTGCCCCCAGTTCAGGCACAGAGCAGCACTCGTCCGCCTCCATCTTTGAGCACGTGGACCGAATTTCCCGCTCCTCTGAGGCCAGCCGGCGGGTTCCCAGCAAGATCCAGCTCATCGCCATGCAGCCCATCCCAGCCCCTCCTCTCCAGCATCCTGTGCTGGCCGACCGAGTGGCAGAAACCAACAAAATTAACAAAGAGGTATTTTTTCTTTTTAATTACAAAGCACATTCTTTAAAAAAACCTCACATTTTGATTTGGTCAGTGCTGAAACGTGCATGAAAGTGACAGTGTCCGGGGAGGCTAAGTACTGGCATGTGGTCTTCATTTTCCCATGGCACTCAGGTTTCCTAGGTCACATACTGTGCAAAGGCCCTGTCAGGGGCTTTGGCAGAGGTGCAGAAAAGAGTCTGGAGCCTGCCGTCATCGGCACGTCCTGCTCTGACCCTTGGCTTGTGTTTGGGAACTTGGATTTTGGAAGGATTCCCAGCACTCCCAAAACAGAGCAGCCCGCTGTGCCCCAACTGTTTGGCGACATAATTTATGCAGCAAACTGCTCTCCTTCTGGGAGTCTGGAGTTTTGGCACATGATGGCCAGAGGGGTCTGTGTGGCCAGCCCCCAGTAAAAAGCCTGGGCGCTGAGGCTCCATTTGGCCTCCCCAAGAGTACATATCTAACCCAAGTTGTCACAGCTCATTGTTGGAAGAGTAATCAAGTCCTGGGTGGCTCGTGGGAGAGGCTCTGGTCCAGGTTTGGTTTGAAGCATGGTCCAGATTTTCTCCAGAATCCACCACGTGCTCCATTTTCCTTTGCTTTATGTCCTTTGCTGTGACAAGTGAGACTAAATGCTGTCTTGTGAGCTCTCTCAGTGACTCATTGAACCTGGGGTGGTCTGGGCACCACTGTAGACTTTGGGGTATGTGATAGATCTGCTCTGGCCTAGGAGATGTGGGTAATTCCTAGTAAAATCCTTTTCCTGGCCAGCTGGAAGAGTGAGTTAGATCTGCTTCCTCCTGAGAATCTGAAGCCGGTTTCTGCCCTCCCCACAGCCTTGCTCACAGCTCTGCCCACACTCACACCCGCTTCCCCCACCCCTTCTATCTTCAAATCCAGTCTGCTCTTCTAGACCTAGTTCACACACAGCTGTGAGATGTCTGCATACCTGTGGGTGCTCCTCTTTGGGGAGGAAGGCCTCTTGTCTGGGAACTTGTTTTGGTAACTCCCGATGTTTATCAGTAAATGGGCATTTTACCAGCACAATGCAAATGTCTTCACTGAATCCAGCTTAATTTAAAATTCTCTAAAATAGCAATATTATTGGGTTGGAAAACATGTATTCCTTCCCCAGAGAGATTAAAAAAAAAATTTCATTTGGGGCCTCCCTGGTGGCACAGCAGTTAAGCGCTGGGCTGCAAAGCTGCCCGCAGCCTCTGCAGCGCCAGTTCAATCCCTGGCCTCTGGCGAGGGTCCCGCATGGCGCGCAGACCTCTCCTGCTGTGCCCGCTGCTCCCCTCAGCAGTGTATTTCATCAGTCTGCCTGTTCTGTTCCCTGCTCTGGTTCTGGTGAATTCTCTCACCCTCCCGCTCTTCTGACTGTACCCAGCGTTTGTATAAATAAATAAATAAATAAATAAATAAATCTTTAAAAACAAAACAAAATCCTTAAAAAAATTTTTTCATTTGGATGTTATATTTTTGCTCTCCCATATGTGCACATGTTCCACTTACTCTCACTAATCCACCCATGTCCTTGCCCTCTCTGCTTCCCTCCCTTAGCCCCAACCATTAAATTCTTTTGCTGAGTTCAAGATTTATTCCTGTTGTATTTTGGCTGTGTATGTTTTTGTTTACATTCCAGAGATGAGTGGACCCATCTGTTATCTATATTTCACTTTATGACTTATTTCATTAACATAATCAACTCAAGTTCCATCCAGTTTCTCCCAAAAGCCATTACTTCATCTTTTTCACAGGTATATAATATTCCACAGAAGCTAGAGTCCACAATTTCCTTACCCATTCCTCTGTTGAAGGGCACTTAGGTTGATCCGAGGGGCATATGATAGCCAGTTGTCAGTGTCCTTAAAAGTTTCCCAAGTTGTCCCTGGCGGAGCTCCCCACCGTCACACCTCTTGTTTGGAGCTACAGTCTGCAGGTGGGTGTGCCTGCCTCTGTCACACCCTCTGTGGCCTGGTGGGAGCCGAGGGCAGCCGTCCAAGGGCAGGGGCTGTGGCAGGACGGTCTCCCCCAAATAGCTTATGCACCGAGGTCCCAGAAACTTTCCAGCTCCGGCCTTGGCCTCATTTCCTCGTCCCTCACCTGACAGATTCAGACGGCTCTGCGGCACAAGTCGGAGATCGAGCACCATCGCAACAAGATCCGACTCCGCGCCAAGCGCCGCGGCCACTACGAGTTCCCGGTGGTGGACGACCTGTCGTCGGGGGACACGCGCGAGCGCCACCGCGTCTACCGCCGGGCGCAGATGCAGATCGACAAGATCCTGGACCCCACGGCCAGCGTGCCGTCCGTCTTCATCGAGCCCAGGAAGAGGTGTCGGGGCTGAGCCGGCCCTGGGGTGGGCGGGGGGGGGGCCTCTCCCGGCGGAGTCCCTGACCGGGTCCAGAGGTGTGTTCTGGACCAGCCAGTGGCCGGTACTGGGTCGGCTTTGGGGCTGCTGGGGTCACCTGTGTTTGCAAGGGCTGCGTCCCTCGCCCCGCCCTCTCTCGCCGTGGCCCCAGAATAGGGCCCCTGGGGTTATTTAACCTGCCCCCTGGAATTCAGCCTTCCTGGCTCCTCGCCCTGCTGCCTCCGTGCGCTCTCACCCGCCATGGAGTCCCCGGGCTTGCTCACCCCAGGCCGTGACCTCGCCCCTTGCTGCATGTCAGATTAGCCAGCTAATGTCATGCTTGTTCACTGCCGCCTGTGAGTCCTGTTCATGCTGCTCGGTCGCGGTGTCTGGCCAGCAGCCCTCGGTTTTCCCGCCATGCGCACAGGTGGCCGGTGACTCCCCGGAGCGCACCGAGCGTCGCCGTTGCGCCCCCGTGGCGGGGTGGTCACTGCGGTGGCCGGCGCGTCCTGGGCGCGCGGAGCGGCCTTGGTGTTGCACAGATAAGCCAGTGTCAGGAAGGCGCGTTTCCTTTGGGGATAATCTCCTTTTTTCCTGGCAGCTCACGGATAAAACGTTCTCCAAAGCCGCGCCGCAAGCACCAGGTCAATGGCTGCCCGGGCGATGCTGAGAAGGACAGACTCATCACCACTGACAGCGATGGCACCTACAAGAGGCCCCCCGGCGTCCACAACTCTGCCTACATTGGCTGTCCGGTGCGTGCTGACCACGGTGCCTCTAGGGTCGGTCTTGGGTGGTTCTTAGAGAGTGAAGGAGCAGGCTGGGTGCCTTCTGGCTGGGCAGCGAGGCAGGGCCTGGGGCCTTGGAGGGGAGACCCAGGCCGCCCTTTGGAGGGGAGACCAAGGCCACCCCTTGGAGGGGAGACCCAGGCCATCCCTTGGAGGGGAGACCCAGTCATTGGAACCAGGGGCCGCTGGGTGAGCCCTCTGGAGACAGTCTGTGCCTCTCCTTTCTCTGCGCAAGCCCTGTCCTGCCAGGCCCTATCATGGGTTCTTCTTGAAATTCTTTGGAACACAGAGAAATGTCCAGAAGTTTTTTTCTTCTCCCCTCATCAGAGAGTTGTTTGGGTTTCTTGTTGATAGGAGGGATATTTAGGGATTTGCCCCTCCCTTCTGCTCCTGAGCACTAAGAAGATGCTACATTTACTGATATATTTGTTTTCTACTTTAATGGGAAAAAGAGCTTACTGGAAATCAAGAAGTAGGGAACAAAACTTTTTTTTTCTAACTGAAAGAGCCACAGAATTGCTTGAAATGTTGAAGTCAGGCATTGATAGACACACACAGGCCCCATTGAGTAGGGAAGAAAGGGCCAGTCTCCCCGAGGGGCTGTGAGAAATGCCTACACAAAGACACCCCGAGACAGAGAGAGGAGCCTCCTCCACAGCACACGCCCGCGGCCTATGCTGGACACAGCCTGTCTTGCTGCAGGAGGCCCTTCCTGCTGCTGACACACACAGAGCAGTCCTTGTTCAGGAGAGATGGGCCGAGGCCCTGCCATGGCAGAGGAGTGTGATGACATGACATGACTTCAGCCTGGACATACACGGCCGACCGTCTCTTGTTTCAGTTTTGTGTTTTGTCCCCTAAGTTCACAGGCAACTGACACTGGAAGTCGCTAAGCACACACCCTCCACCTGCTGGGCTGACTGGGGCTGAAGATAATTGCATCCTGGGATGCTTAGGAACCAGGCTTTTCCTTGGGCACTTACTGGTTCTAGTGTGCTAAAGACTGGTGGCACCTCATCACCTGCTCCTGAGGACTGGGGTGATCCTGGAGTGCTGGGGGGCTGCAGAGAGCCTGCTCTGTGCCTCCAGACAGAATCAGAGATTTCCTGAGTGGAGGAGCCTTGAGCAGTTCCCACAGCAGAGGGCGCTCTGGTGCTGCTTTCGCTGGGCTCTTGTGGGTGCCTGTGTGGCTTTTGGCTGGATCTGAGCAGCGCTGCCCAGGGCAGTCACCTGGAGCTTTTGTTGTTGTCTCACACAGGGACTTCTAGACCCCGTTGCGTGACCCTGAGGAACAGAGGAAGGGGGAACATCCTTTTCCTCCCTTCTTGTCTCCAGCCTGGGCTCATGCTCTCGAAGGAATCTGCAGGAGAGCCCTTCCCGCCCCCTCCCTGCTCTCTCTTTCAGTACTTTGCCTTCCATCATCATTGCTGGCCCGTCTTGTGCAGGGAAAGTTGTCTTTCCCTGCCTCTCTCCGTCATTCCCCTAATCAGGCCTCTCTCATGGGGGCATAGGCCACCCTCCTCCTTGCTTTTTTCCTATAGCCCGTAGGATTCTAAGCACTAAGCATGCCCTGGGGAGGTGATGGCAGCTCCTGGGGACTTCCTCCCGCTGTATGGAAGATTCTAGACTTGTGGCTTCTTTATGGGGCCACACCGCTCACTTTCTCGCAGTAGAAGCCAGATGCCAGAGGCCCCATGGGAGCACCAGGGGAGCATTGCCTCTGGAATGACCCCCTCCCTGGCCTTGGGATGCTTTTCCAGACACGCTCTTGCTTGACATGCACGTGACGTCGGCGGGGCACTGCTGAGTGCGGTCTTCCTTGCCTCCTCCTCGGGCGGCCGGGCGCTGGAGAGGGGCCTGTGTGTTTACTAAACTCCATTCCCGAGGAAGGGTGCACGGGGTCCTTCCAGTGCTGGGTCGTAAATCAGAGACGCCTTTGGGAGCCCAGGTCCTTACTGAGAATCCCTCTGGATGCGTGTCTGTCAGCACAGCCATGACCAGCACGCGCACACTTTGGAAGCAGATGGACAGGGCCCAGCGTGAGGCTGGGGAGCAGGAACTCTGGTGAGGGGGAGAGCGCCTCCCACCCTCCATCTCTGGGCAGCCTCTCTCCGCTGGCTATTTGTGTGGGGCCAGAGCTTTGGTTTCTGCCAAGAGAATCCAGAAACCTGAATTTCGATATGACATTGTCAGATTTAAAAGATAACTTTTTAAAGACTGTGTGGGCCAAACAAAACTGGTTGATGGGCTGGTTGCTGTTTATATATAGTAGCCTGTAGACTTGTGTGGTGACATGTGTAATGTGTAGTAGCACATACACCATGCAAAAGCATGTATAGAGTGTAGTCTGTGTGCATAGCATGTAGTACCACATTGGTGCCTTGTAGCACATACCACATACAATATCACACGTAACATGTCTTGTGCATGTAGCCTGTAGTAACACATGTGGGATTTAGTGCTATGTGTGGTATGCCATAGCAGCATGCAGTAACATGTAGTTACACTGTGATATGTAAGCAGCATGTATGGAAGCTTGTGCCACATGTAATGGCAGTGTAGTATGTATTAACAGGTGTGGTGTGTCTTAGCATGTGTGGCATATAGCGGCACACATGCTGCAAACTAGCACCGTAGCATGTAGTAGGACATGTAGCATGTAGTATGTAGCAGCACAACTATGTAGCAACAGGGCAGCATGTAATTGCATGCACTGTGTAGTGGCATGCGTGGTTGTAGGAGCACATGTAGTGTGCAGTAACATGTGCAGAGTGTAGTTGCATGTGGCATGTAGTAGCCTATATGCCATGTCGCTTCACATGTGGCACATAGTCATTGCTTATGTGTGGCATGTACTAGCTTGTGTAGTCCCAGTGCAGCATGTGGTAGCATATAGGGTATAGGGCCTTCTCTCTTGCTGTTCAGCGTCCATAGGCTGCTGTAGTTCTGGGTCTCCATGTCTATGGAAAGTGGGTGAGATGTTTTATTATATAAATTTTGAGGGCTGTTTTTGTTGCTGCTTAGGGCTTTCGATAAGAAATGCATATTTCCAGGTACTGAAATGCAGGTTAGGGAGCTGATGACTGAGTTTTGCTGTATAAACGATTATGCAATATTTTCCTTCTTCCTTTGTCTGGACTCAAGCATTTCCCCCCATGAAATACAAAGCTCGTTCTCACCGTCAACCTTTTCCTCAGTGTCTGTGAAAATTGTTAAATTCCATTTATGCCCTCACGTTTTGCTTCTGGGTCACTGTAGAAACTTGTGTCTGACTCTTCTTTCCTCGCTCGTCCCCCTGCAGTCCGACCCTGACCTCCCGGCCGATGCGCAGACGCCATCCTCGGCAGAGCTGGGGCGATACCCGGGCCTGCCCTTCCCGGCCCCCCAGTACATCCCGCCCCAGCCGTCCATCGAGGAGGCGCGCCAGACCATGCACTCCCTCCTGGACGATGCGTTTGCCCTGGTGGCCCCCAGCAGCCAACCCTCCAGCACCCCGGCTGCAGGCCCTGGGGGCCCGGCCGGCCTGCCCGCCAGCAGCACCCCATCCCGGGAAGAGCGGCGAGCCACCCAGTGGGGGTCCTTCTACAGCCCAGCACAGACGGCCAACAACGCCTGCAGCGTAAGTACAGGCCTTCTAGAATTCTCTCGTGGGTAAGGTGTAGGAATGTTCTTGCCGGGTGGCCTCGCTTTCACAATGGCTGTGATGCTCTGGTTGTGTCTGACAAGAACTAAAGCTTGGTAGTGGGTCTTGGTTTTCATTCTCTTCCCCTGAGCTCATTCTCAGAGTTGGAAGGATCCTTTCCTGCAGCTCTGTTGGTTGAGGGGTACAGAGGTGGTTTGGGGAAGTGCCTCGGGTTCCTCACGATGTCATGACATGGAGGGGGCGTAACTCAGCAGATTCTCATTCTCATCGTGTCTCCATCAAAGGTGCAGCCTAGAATGTACCCAAGTCGTCCAGCCTCTCTGGGCCCTCTGGGACTGCGTGGGGCCCGGGGCTCTGGGGGTGGGGGCAGCTATGCCCCAAGCGGGCAAGGATGGCCGTTTTCATGTAGTAGGTTTCCATCTTGACATTTCCGCATTGCATTTGCCTTTTATGATCCTCGTTTTTTAATGTTCAGTCCTTTCAATTGTGTCTTCTCAAGATAAGGAGAAGGAAAACTCAGGGAAGTCATTAAATATTGTTTTATGCCAATGTTAGATGAAATGATTGCACTTAAAAGACGGCTTGGAGAGAAGTGAATAGGTCACAGTTTAAATTTCTTTTTCAAGGAGGGTTTGTATTGAGTTCCTCTGATTTTTTTTTTAACCCATATTAAGTATGGTGAAATCAGGTGATAATAAACATTTGTTCATATGACTTTTCTCTCTGAAGTTGATTTGAATTTTCAAAGTGTGAGCTTAGTAATAGATTATATATTCATGCAGTAGAATAGTACTCCCCTGATGTGTATTCTTTTTTTTTTTAAGATTTATTTATGCATATAAGAGCTGGGGTACAGGCCAGAGATAGGGGTGTGTGACAGAACTCACCAGAGACAGAAGTGGGGAACAGAACAGACAGACTGATGAAATACACTGCTGAGGGGAGCAGCGGGCGAGACAGGAGAGGTCTGCTGCGCCAATGGGTTTCTCCCTGGCCGGCTGGGATGGAACTCGTGCTGCAGAGTCTGCGGATTGCTTCATAGTGCGGTGCTTAACCCTTGGCGCCACCAGGGAGGCCCCCTGATGTGTCTTCTTAACAATGAGATTCATTTTGGCTGACTGATATCTGGCTGGAAGTAAAAGCGGTAAGACATGAGGCAGGTGCGGGAAGGCAAGAAGCTGATAGATGTGGAGCCTAGACCTCCTCAGGCAAAATCTAGACACTGAAAGATGCTGAGCCGACTTGAGATGTAACTAGATGTGCCTTTTTTCAAGCTTGCTCTCCTGTTAGGATTGTCACAGTGCAAGACCAGAGACAGGGAGACAGTTATGAAGTTATTGTCATAATCTTGGGGCGAAATATTGGTGGGCCCAACTCGTGAATGCAGTGAATGGAGATGAGAAAAGGAATCAGCATGGCTTTGGGGTGTTCGTTGTTGATGAATTGAGCTAATACAGAAGGTTTGATGACACGGAAAGGAGTCCAGAGTACAGATGGAGGAATAATTCTTAGAAATAAGGGGATATATTTCTTCCAATATAATAGGAAGGAATACAGTAGAATACAGATACAGATACAGATACAGCCAGGTTTGTAGTTGAGAACCAGTCAGCAACTATATTTGTTGAGAATTTGGGAAGAAGTGTGACCAAGCAAGAGAGTTGAGGGAGAGTCGATATTTGAAATACTTACGGAGAATGAAAGAAAACAGATTAGGACACAGGAATAATTACCGAGCAGCACCGAGACCCTTGTTAAGACTGACTATCATAGAATTAAAGTGGCACAATTAAAGTTCTGTAGTTATACGTCAGCGCTCAGATACTCAGGTATAGGCAAGGAGAAAACAGGCAGTTGGATTGATCCAGGACTGGGGCTTTACCAGGCAAATGTAATAAAAGAGCTAATGGGCAGGAGACCTGCAGATTAGAGGATGCAGTTGAAATAGTCATGGACAGAGAAAGTCTAGGAAGCTGGGGTGAGTTAAGCAGGCCTTCTTGATTCTTCTCTCCATCTACTGCATTATGCTACTTGCATTCACTGTCCCCACTCACCTAGATTATTCTTTTTTTTTTTGCCTTTGTACATCTATATTTTGTACTCTTTCTTTTTTTTAATTTAAATTTTATTTTTATATTCCCCATACAATTACAACTTCTTTATTTTACCCCAAGCCCTCCTTTTCCCACCCCCACCCCCCAACCCCCGTAGAGTGTCTCTTGTTCATAGTTATTTGTTGATTTTGATATTTTCTTTCTTATAGTTATTCTTTTTCCTGGTCCCTTATTTAAGTTTTCTAGATTCCTGCTATGAGGGAGACCATCCGGTATTTTTCTTTTTCTTTCTGGCTTATTTCGCTGAGCATGATCCCTTCCAGCGCCATTCATGTTGCTGCAAATTGCATGTGTTTATCTTTTTTGAATGCTGACTAATATTCCATGGTGTATATGTACCATTAGGTTATTCTTAAGAACTTCCTAGTTACCTCCCTGCCTCTGTCTTGAGTGTAGGGTGTCAGGGCCTGGTGTTGAACAGGCCAAGGAGCTGGGAGGCTACACAGTAAGTAGAGCATCCTGTGTGTAATAGGATTTTGAATGAAGAGGATGACCTACCCGTAGCCTCTCAACTTCGTCTTGAGTTTCCCAAAGGGAGAGTTCTCCCCTCACTTTCTGACCTGACCTTGTTCACTCTGGCATCCATTTGCTACTTCTCTCTGCTCCTTGAATTGTTCTGTGGAGAAATCTGTGGCCATCTCATCTTCCTCCTGCCTGAGGGCATGTGCTCTGCTAGCAAGCAGAAATAACTCCTGGTACCCAACCTGTTTTTCTGGATCATCTTCCCTTCCTGAATCATAAGTGTCCATTTTTAATTTCAGATTCAGCGCTTTCATTTCTTTTGAGGAAAGTTTCATGTTATCTCTGAAATAGCTTTCTTACACTGTTCTCTTTATTGGAGTTGAAGATTCCAATTATTTTTATGTAGGCTCCTCTTTGTTTTCTGTATCTATTGCTTTACCTCTAATTGCCTTAGCTACTCTGTTCTTTTTATCTGCCTTGATTCATTATAATTCTTGTGAGTCTTCTCTCTGTGACAGTGATTTAATTTTCAATCATATCTGTTTCTTTCCCTGCTAGTTGATTTCTTAGAATCATAATGGCATTGTTTTGGTCCTCAAATTAATTTCACAGTTCTGTGATCTCCCACTTAAGTTCATTCTAAGATTGTTTTGCCATCTTATCTTTGAACTTAAAAAAAAAATTGCTTTTCTTACTAAATAGGAGCCACAGCATACTGGGAGAATATTTTGTTCCTTCTTGGCCACCACTTTTCTTAGAATATAGTATGATTCTATCTCTTTCTTGTTTGGTTTCTGCTAACAAATTTTAGTAGTAATTTTTGACAGATTTTAATTATTTGCACATGGGTGCTGGAAATAAACAATTTCTTGATGATGACTTTAATCCATCATTTTAATCAAGAACTCAAACCATCATGAGATTTTTATAAATACTGTTTTCAGTGACTTTTGCATTCTGGACTTTTGATGTATTTAGATGAGAACAGTAGCAGTGCAAATAGTTTAATCTAGTGGAAAATAAGCATCATTGACTGTATCGATACATATTCAATATATTTTTTAAAGATTTATTTATTTATGCATGCAAGAACTGGGGTGTAGTCCAGAGGTGCAGGGGGTGAGAGGATTCAACAGAAAGAGTGGGGAGCAGAACAGGTGGATCTACTGAAATACACTGTGAAGGGGAGCAGTGGGTGACATAGGAGAGGTCTGCTGTGCCATGTGGGTCACCTCCCTGGCCGACCAGGGATTGAACTCATGCTGCAGTGGCTGACGATAGCTTGATAGCGCTGTGTCTTTAATCCCTGTGCCACCAGGGAGGCCCCATATTCAATGTATTTCTTGGCATCTTTATATATTGGTTGTACAGTTATTGTTTGTGGCCAGGAAGAACCTGATCACCCTTTATTTGCCTCTTCTGACTACAGTAAAAACCACTGGAATGTAGATTCCAACGTGCCTGCAGTTACTCATGAACCTTTGTTTACCAACTGATGGCATTTTACTTCCCTCTAACCCCCCCCCTTTTTTTTTAGCATGGGTAAGGCTGTCGTTTATGCACTGATGATCCGGGCCATTTGATGGATGGTATTTCTGCCTCCCTGAGTAAAGATGACCACTCTGGAGTAGTCCCCCAAATGGCAAGTGAGGATACCTGAACCAAGACATTTTATAAGCAGACCTGTGTGTGGTTGCCTTAGAACCCTCCCAGACTCCACCAACCATTTGACTTGTCCTGTTGGCCTGTTTTATAAATAGAAAGAAGAATGCATTAAAATGGGTTTTTTTATTGACTTAGCTGGTTGAAATTGTAAAATTCTATTTTATTACGCAAGCTTTATTATAGGTATGACTCATTTAAAGTTAATGCCACCCATTCTTTCTGCAGCTTTTAAAAAACCTTTTCACTGGAGCATGAGATGTTTAGAAAGTAATAGGTTTTCTCTGATTGCAATAGAATTGAAATGCCCCGCCTGCAATATTAAAACAGATAGAGTGGACAGCTATCTTTACTGTTTTCCTTTAAGTTGATCACTTATTAGACCTCCTGAAATCTGAGAGGTAAATTGTTCAGCCTTGATCTTTTTTTATTTGCAGGCATATGTTTAAAAGCTCCACACTTGCCATGAAATACAGGGATTGCTATGGTGGGTCTCTGCCCATCTCGCTATGAAGAATCTCTATCCATCTCATATTTCCTTTTAATTATTTGGGGAAAGAACTGAAACTTCCTTTGCTTCTATTCCTCCCTTCTTCCATAATCCCCTTTGGCTTATTTTGCCTTAGAGGGTCAGAAGGTGAAGTAATTTGAACTTGGTGTCATGTCTAATCCCTCCTGACCTCAGTGGGAATGGAGATCACTGGATCCTTCTTGGCATAAGGAAACAGACCCAGGAACACTGAATGCCTTGGACTGTCTGTTTGATCCTGATCCTCTCCTTCCCCCTCATAAAGTAGAGATTTATTTGAGGGGAAAGTCTAGTGTGGGCACCTTGAGCAGCTCAGTGAAGTGGTTGAAAGCATGGACTTTGAAGTTAAATTTAGGAGGAAATTAACTTCTTTGTGAGTTACTTTCTTCTCCAAAACAGAATTGAAATACCAAACACTTTGTAAATGTTACCATGGGTCCAAGTTGGTGATCATACAGTGCTTACCACCAAATACTAACTTAGTAAATTGCAACTTAAAAGATGGAAAGCTAGAGCAAGTCCAGAAGCAAGGCTGACTCAAGAACAGGCCGTTGTGCTCCTGAGCCTGGACAGTGGTTGGCTCAGGCTGCTGGAGTTGGATGGCAGCACCCAGTCACTCTTCTAACATATCTGATCCCAGCGTAATGATGCACAGTTGTTGGAAAGAAATGTTGGACTAGCAGTTAGGGTTAAGGATACGTTAGGGTTAAGGATATGTTGGTTTCAAGAGGCGTGCAACACAGGTAAGGTTTCTTTAAGTCTGGGGCCAGATTGTTCTAGTCAGTGAGCACCTGGTTAGCTCAGATTCACTCGAGCTGAAAGAGTTGATTGAAAGGTGCAGGGAGGGCCTCCCTGGTGGCACAAGGGGTTAAGTCTCAGCTCTATGAAGCCATCAGCAGCCACTGCAGCATGAGTTTGATCCCTGGCCAGGGAGCTGACCCACATGGTGCAGCAGACCTCTTCTGTCTGGCCTGCTGCTCCCCTCAGCAGTGTATTTCAGTAGATCTGCCTGTTCTGCTCCCTACCCTGTCTCTGGTGAATGCTCTCCCCTCCTTTGCACATCTGGTGAATCCTCTCACCCCCCTGCACATCTGGCTTACACCCCAGCTTTTATATGCATAATTAAATAAAATGAATCTTTAGGAAAAAAAGAAAGGTGCAGGGACACTTTATGGAACATTAGGGCAGACAGTGTGGCTGGGTCTCCTTGGGACCATAAAATTATCAGAAACTGAAGGTGCTCACTTCATCTTTAAGTCTCCCTCTCACTTCTGGTTCTCTTTGTATTCTTTCTCCTTCTACCATATTCTGTAACAACTTACAGCATCGGCTACTTTAGCCTGACTGCATTGAGTTGCTGCCCTGGTGGCCCTCGAGGCCCCTGTGATGAGCCACTTGCGCTGAATGTGCTGCCAAGGTTGCCTTTTTAGCAGAAGAAACAGGTTTGTAGAGAAGGAGCCAGCAGGAAGGAGCAGGTCTAGAAAACTTGCCTGTCATTCATACTTTTACAGAAAAAACATCTGGACATTAGTTGTGTATTTTTAAAAGTCTGGTAGTCCAGTTCCCTGAAATGAGCCTTCTGGCATTATTTGATGGCAGAGTGCCCCAACAGCATGCTCACTTTTTATGAGAAAATAATTCTTCTGAAAATGGATCCTGCAAACCAAATTTATAAGCTTGCTGTTGTCACTTTATAATAAGTATTGAATGTTAATCTTCAACTTCTTTTGAATTCCTTCCAGAGATATGAAGACTATGGGATGACTCCCCCATCAGGCCCTTTGCCAAGGTAAGGCACACAACTCTTAAAGAAACTGAAATAATTATTAAAATTCCTCCTGCAAAGAAAACTCCAGAGCCAGGTGACTTCAACAGTAAATTTTACCAAACACTGAAGGAAGCAAAGGTGTTAATGTTGTAAGAATTCTTTTTTTGTTGTTTCTTTTTTTTTTAGTCTTTTTTTAAAAAAGATTTATTTATTTATACAAGAACTGGGATACAGTCAGAGGCGCGGGAGGGTTGAGAGAATTCACCAGAGACAGAGTGGGGAGCAGAACAGGCAGAGAGATCGAAGACAGTGCTGAGGGGAGCAGTGGGCGAGGCAGAAGAGGTCTGCTGTGCCATGTGGGTTTCTCCCTGCCCAGCTGGGAATCGAACCCATGCTGCAGAGGCTGCGGACAGCCTCACAGTGCGACACTCAACCCCCTGTGCCACTGGGGAGGCCCGATGTTATAAGAATTCTTATAAAGAATATGAAAAGTGACCCCCTCCCTCTGCACCCCCCCCCATACTTACTATCTTAGGAGACCTGTATAGCCTTGATACCAAGGCAAGAAAAGAAAGAAAAATTGAAAAGTAAACATGAGCCTATATACCAAAAGGTATGACACACAACCAAATTGGATTTATTCCAATTTTAAGTGTTTACATTTAAACATTTAAAAATCAATCACTGTTATGGCTTTGGGGAGAATAAAATATACAGCATTTAATAAAATTCAACTTTCATTCATCGTAAAAAATCTTAGCAAAGAAGAGAAGCAAACTTCACTCATCTGATATAAAATATTACTTGTTGGTGAAATGTTAACAGTTTTCCTTCTGAGAATAGGAGCAAGACAAAGCAGCTTGCATTACTTCTATTCAGCGATGCCCTGGAGGTCTTAGCCAATGTAATAGGCGAGGAAAAGAAACAGAAAGATTAAGGGATTCAGTGTAAGAAGTAATACTGTTATTATTTGCAAATGATATAATTTTGTAGTAGCAAAACTAAAATTAAATTGAAACAAACCCTGTAGAATTGGACTGCTGGAGGGGGGTGCGCGAGGAGTGGGGAGAAAGCAGGGAGAGGGCACAATGGCCTTGGGTAAAGGATCTGGGTGCTTTGATGGTGGGGGTGGTGTGGCACCATACATCTGAGGTGTGACTCTATTTCCCTAAATCCTATGCTGTGTGCTGTGTTCTAAACCAGTGTTACCTCAATTTAAAAGCACGCCAAAAACCAGCTTTCTATATTAAAAAAAAGCCTCTATACATGTTTAATATATGTAATTGGTGAGTTTGGGCATTTGCATATGCCTGTGCTACCATAACCATAATTAAGATAATGAACACATCCATCACCTCCGAAAACAAAACAAAACAAAAAGAAAATCCAAACATGTCAACACATAAATTGTTAGAATTAAGGGAATTTATCAAGATCGCTAAAATACAAGGTAGCTGAATACAAGGTCACTTTTCAAAAATCTGTTTTGTTTCTGTTTATGAGCAACAGACAGATTTAAAAGTCAAAGATGTTACTTAAAATACATTGGAAACAAAATCAGAATGAACCTAACTCAAGATATTTAAAGGGGCTTTGAAAACAGCCAATATTGGGGTCCCACTCTAGAGATCTGTTTTCATTGGTGGGGTGCAGCATGAACATTGGGGTCTTTAGAAACTCCCCAGTGCTGCTAATGTGTAGCTGAGGTTGAGAACCATCACTTTAGTCAGGCTAAAGATGAACAGGCCCTGAACTTGAACTGCACCTGTTCAGTGTGTAACTGGATTATTTCTTCAGTCACCCGACAGATCTGCTCAGTATCAGCCACGTTGCAGGCACCGTCCTTAGTGCCGGGGACCTCCAGTGAGCAATCAAGGAAGTCCCTGCCGCCAGGGAGCTCGTGTTCCAGCAGCGGAGAGGGATAATAATCCAGGAGACATAGAAACCTTATTTTCCTGCAGGGCTGAGGGTGGGCATAAGGAAGCACCAGAGCGGGGGAGTCAGCCTGATGATTGAGTGTGCTTTGCCTTCAGACCAGGTTTTGGCCCCGGTTTGCTGCAGTCTTCGGAGCTGGTGCCCCCCGAGTCCCAGCAGCCACAGGCACCTGCCGAGGCCCCGTTCACTGCCCGAGGGATCTACTCTGAGGAGATGCCACCGGTGGCCCGGCCTCGGCCCGTCGGGGGCACCACAGGTACCTGAGGCAGCTTAGCTTGCTTCGTGGCTACATTCTGGCAGGGCACGTTTTAGACTTGCCAGGTGTCAGCATCTCAGTCTCCAGCCTCTTTCACATGCGAGAGCTGTTTTCCCGTGGCCCCTGGTGGAGATGGCAGTAGGGCAGGTGGGAAAGGAGACAGTGGCTGAGATCCCAGGACTCTTGTCCGACCATTTGCTCCTGCATCAGTGTCTCAGGAGCAAAGCCTTCGTATGGAATTCACAGGACACCGCTTCCAGGGGCAAGGTTTCTCAGTTCTTACTGTAAACTGAAATGATCTGTTTCTGAGCCCTTAGTAGGTCTTCAAAAGAAGTGTTTTTTAAAAGGCAGCTTTCTAGCTTCTAATAAGTGACTCTGAAAATTGCTGGATGGTGACCAGGGGGAGATTTTTGTTGTGTATGGTCCTTTCTGGAGGGGCACAATCACTATTTTCTTCTGTGCTTCACCTCCCTCTTTTTTTGCTTTCTACCTTTCATGATACAATCTTTTTAAGTTTTCTTGTCATTTTTTCATGACTCTCTGCCTGAGCCCAGCTGTGTCCTCACGTGGGCAGAGTCACCAGTGGAGGACCTGGGGCAGTCAGTGGCCATGTGGAAGTGTTCTGCTCCTTTCCACCCTTCTTGGGGAGGCCATCCCAGACCCTTGTTACAAAGAACAATCTTACGTCTCTCATGGGTAACTATTGCTGCTCTTTATCTTGAAAATTCAGAAATGAAAGGTCACATTTCTGAAGTGGGTTTCTAATTCACTGTTAGACTTTTTTTTTTTAAAGATTTATTTTATTTATTTATACAAGAACTGGGGTACAGGCCAGATGCACGGGAGGGTGAGAGAATTCACCAGCGACAGAGCTGGGAACAGAACAGGCAGACTGACAAAATACACTGCTGAGGGGAGCAACGGACGCGACAGGAGAGGTCTGTCGTGCCACATGGGACCCTCGTGGAGGGGCCGGAATCGAACCGGCACTGCAGAGGCTGCGGACAGCTTCACAGCGCTGCGCTCAACTGCCTGTGCCACCTGGGGAGGCCCTCACTGTTAGACTTTTAAGTCTTTGGCATGACTTTTCTCTTTTAGCATTTTGCTCTTCCCTTTTAGCATTTTGATGTTCCCTTAATTACCTGTTGGAATGCAAATAAAATTAGCCTCCGGTTTCTTCAGCTGTACAGTGGGGATATTAGTACTTAGCTCCTATGGTTCTTTTGATGATTAAAGTAGGTAACAAATGTAAACTGCCCTCTATAGTGCCTGCCTGAGCGCCCACTAATACTAGTGGCCATCGTCCTGTGACTTGCGGTGGAGTGGAGGTCGCTGCACTTTTGGAAAGAAATTGGAATTATGACCTATCACTTCATTATAATTTTAGTAATTAAAATGATATTTGATTACTATTTAATACCATTATAATTATGACTTCATAATTTTACTTCTGGGAATGTAGGCTCTCCCCCTTAGGAAATATAAAATATTGGGGAGAAATTACATGTTTTTTGGTGTATTATTCTCCATAACAACCAGTGGTGGGCCCCCTAAATGAGCACATCAGTGAGTAGTAAATCGTGCAGCTATTGAAAATGAAGAGCTCTGAAAGAACCAGAAAAGGGAATTTCAAGTTTCCTGATTGCCTCCTATGTGTCTGGTACTTGACCCATTTTCTCTATTTTAAGTCTTGGAGTTGACACTGCAAGGTAGATTTTGAAGCCCCCATTTCAGAGGCTAATGACGAGGCTCAGGGGGCACGCAGCCAGGGCCTAGGTTCCAGCTGCTCAGTGGCTGGGCTGGAAAGCAAAGCAGGCTCACAGGGGATCCCCACACAAATCAGGGATAACTGGGCTGTGTGGTTAAGTGAACAACATGGGATTCAAAATCTTATCTGAATTACAGTTTCAATAGCCCTCCAGTTTTTATGCTTTTCTCTGCTGCAGTCCCTTGCGTCTTCAGAGGTGATGGCGATCACTGTGTTGGCTTTTGTCCTGGGCAGCCTTGCTTGGACAGTGCCCCCAGGCCAGCAGCAGCGCCCATCGCTGGAATACTTCATGCCCTTAGGACCCTTCAGGAACTGAGTGGTGCCCGAGCAAGTGCTTTGCTCCGCTGAGGCCTGGATGGTTTTTCTGACTTAGTGTTTAGTTCTCACTATTTATCTACATAAAGCCTCGGGCAGTTTCTTTTTACAAATATGTGTTTGGTTCAGGAAGTTGGTAAGGAGAGAACTAGAGTAGGCGTGGACGACAAGAGGAGAGGGTGGCCTCCCTTCCCTCTGTGAAATCTCTGCCCCTGGGTAGGACCAAGCCGAGCTTCGAGCTTCGCAGGCGAATCTGATGACCCTGGGAGCAGGTGGAGTGAAGTATTTAATGTCATGTTCTCCTCCCTCTTAATCTGCAGTCTAAATGGGATACATCCGCATGCCAGCAGTTGACAGGGGAGAAAAACATGTTGTTGAAAGCCTGGCCTGCATAGCCACATGAGGCTACTGCATGTATAAGTGTAGGAGCAAGTCTGAGCGCCAAGGGTATATGTCACTGATGAGGCTAGGTGAGTGGCTTTAAGATCTTAATTTGTGATGTGACTTAATTGCAGAAACAATGTGAGTATAACGACAATACACTTTAAGTCTGAATTCAAATAATCTTGCACTCTGCTAAGAAAGCAGATAGTGCTTTCAGCTCCGTGTGAATCTCAAAGCCAGGAGCAAAAAGGAGGCAGTTTTTTGTTTCTTTATCATTTCAAAACCTTTTGCCTCCTGTCTTCTGAATTATAAGAATAAACTTAGTCGTAACCTCTATAGAAATGACTGGAAGGACCTCTGTTTGGACTCTTCTCGTCTTTATTGTCTAGCCGGGGAGATACAAACATCCAAATCAGCCTCTGCATTAAAGGAGGTAAAACACCCTGACCCAAGAAGCTCCCGCCTGTTTTTGTAGGAAAGGTCTTTCTGTGTGGAGAGAACTGGTGTCGTGTTTGAAAAGTACCTGTTTCTTTTCTTTTTAAAAAAATTTTTATTTATGCATACAAGACCTGGGGTACAGGCCAGAGGTGCAGGGGGTGAGAGGATTCACCAGAGACAGAGTGGGGAACAGAACAGGTGGATCCACTGAAACACACTGCTGAGGGGAGCAGGGGGGAGACAGGAGAGGTCTGCTGTGCCATGTGGGTAGCTCCCTGGCCGGCTGGGGATCAAACTTGTGTTGCAATGGCTGTGGATAGCTTCATAGTGCTGCAACTTAACCCCTTTCACCACCAGGGAGGCCCCCCAAAATGCCTGTTTCTTAGTGTGGTGGTCAGTGCCAAAGGTGCCTCCTGGCAACCCTGCCATCTTCTAAGGGCTGACCAGGCCATCTCACTGTGCCCCCCAGGGTCCCAGATCCAGCACCTGACGCAGGTGGGCATTGCCAGCCGAATTGGAGCTCAGCCGGTGGAGATCCCAGCAAGCAGAGGCGGCCAGTACGGCGGGCCAGGCTGGCCTTCCTACGGGGAGGAGGAGGCGGGCCGGAGAGAAGCCGTGAGTATCCTGCGCATGGCCGTCACTGGACACTCTGGGGTGATGGCTGCTTCGGCCTGGGGGTCCCTTTTTAACACCCCCATCAGTCAAAGTTCTGACTCCCCTGGCTGTTGCCCCCTGGAGTGTGTGTGTGTGTGTGTGTGTGTGTGTGTGTGTGTGTGTGTGTGCTCTCCTGCATGGGGAGAGTGCTGGCCTCAGCTTCTGCATGGTGTTTGCTCTCTTGAGGTAGGTTTCAGGCTTGAAGTAGTGAATTTATAAAAATAACCTTAAAAAAAAAATTAAAGCAGTATCATTACAGGAAATTGGGACAGACACCTAAATAAAAGTCACTTTTACATTTGTTATTTTGTAATTTTTTTTTTTTTAACTGTAAAAGGCACCTAACAGAAAATTCACCTTTACCATCTTTCAGGGCACAGCCAACTGTTTTTGGCTGCACTTGGTGCCATGACACGCTCACCACCATCCACCTCTGCAGTTCATTTAGAAAATGAAACTCGGGATATTCCATGCTAGGCTCCCCTCCCTCTCCCCCAGCCCCAGGCCACCTTCCCTCTGCTTTCAGTCTCTGTGACTTTGACTTTTATGTAAGGAATTTGAACGTGGAGGTGACAATGATCTGGACTCCATCTCTGGTGTCAGCGCCTATAAGTATTCGTGATCTCAGCGACCTGCTTGCTCAGCGTAGTGGCAGGGCAGGGACAGAGCAGGTTTTCTATGATTGCAGCAGACGGGTAAAGGAGAGTCCTGGAGCCCTCGGTGGCTTTCTCAGGCTTTTATTGAGCTTTTGCACATAGTGCAGCAACTAGGTACACGGCAGGCAGGGGTGCCAGGGGGCCATGAGGCCGGCAGGCCTTCAAGCCCTCGGCAAGTCCTCACTCTGGGCTTCTCTGGCCTTCTTTCTCCTGCCTCTCTTCTGCCTCTGCTTCTCTTGGCCAATATCTCAATTCTGAGCCATGGCCCACAGAAGTAAAGACACAGCAGTGTAACACCTGCAGGTGCCCTATGAGGCAGGGCAATCCTAATGGTGGAGGGCAGAAAAGCCTGAAAACCATCTACCTCACATTCAGTGTTTGTGCCACGTGGGGCTCTGTCCCTACCATTTTCTCGGTGACCACTGCACACTGTTGCTCTTGTAAACACATGGCCTGGGGTATTTCAGAGTTTTCTTTTGGATGCTTCTCATCTCCTGTTCCTTCCTCGGAGCAGAGATGTGAGCGCAGGTCACTTCTGCTTTCCTTTGTTTCCTTCCCAGGAATTTTACATCCATGGGGGGCAAACAAATGAACTTGAAATTACAAACCAAAACGATACTCTCCGTTGGTTGTGCTGCCACATTCACTGCACGTGTATGCCTTTCCAGCAGAAACACTGAATTCTTCCCTGACTGGATGCTTTTATTCACTGAAAGGAAATTCACTTTAGAATATATTTTTCCCTAAAAGGTACTTGTTTGAACTTAAGATTTCAGAATCCCTTCCAGTTCACTGACATTTTCTTTTCTTGCCTGCACTGTGCCCAACTTAATTAATATCATGAGGAGTTTGGGTTTTCCCATCAAGTCCAGTGTTCCTTTCAGAGCGCCTCCAGGGGCTCTAGCCCGAGTGGTGACCTGCAGAAATATTCTAGGGTTAAACGTCCTTAGAGTAAATGAAATCAAGTTTAGTGCTTGTATCTATGTTTATATGCAAAGAGATTTTTCCATGGAAATAATATGAAAAAAGTCACTGGAAAGTATTATGATCCATGTCAAATGCATGCCAGATGAAGCTGCCCTATGCAGCTAGCAGCAAAATTATATGTTTTAATACAGATAACGTTTATTTAAAGAGCACTTGATGGACACACAGATAAAATGGAAAATGCCTCTGTGCCCCTGCCTGCTCCTCCGCCCAGTGTGCTCACCTGCACGGCCTCCCTGGCGCCATCCCTGCCCAGAGCAGCTGTTTTGTCTCTGCCGCTCTCTTCCAGCTCCCAGCTCTCTTCCTGTCACCTTCCTGCCCACCCCAACCCTCAGCCTCCCTCCCTCCCAGCTCTCCAAGCCCCTTCCTGGCTCCTGGGCCTCTCATGTCTGCACAGGGCGATGCGGGCCTTTGCGATGGGATCAAATGCCGCCTCCTTCTTTCTCAAGGCCTCTACATTGCACTCACATCCCTCAGGCGCTCCACAACTCCTCCTCTCCTGCAGGGTTTTACAAGCCCCCCCGGGGCTGGCTTGTGGGGTGGGGAGAGGTGAGGAGGTCCCCCTGGCCTCACCCACGGCCCACCTGAATTTGATCCCCCGCCCCAACCTGGGATGCACCATGACATCTGCTGTCTTTTTCAGACGCACGTGCTGGGACAGCAAGAGTATTCCTCGTCGCCGCTGTTCCAGGTGCCAAGGACTTCAGGCCGGGAGCCCTCTGCGCCCCCGGGGAACCTCGCGCCCAGGGGCCTGCAGGCCTCGGCGCGCGCCTACCCCAGCAGCTCCACGGAGGACCTCCAGCCCGGCCACTCCTCGGCGTCGCTCATCAAAGCCATCCGCGAGGAGCTGCTCCGGCTCTCCCAGAAACAGACCCCGGTGCAGAACTTCCACAGCTGATGGGCCGGGCGCGCGGGATCGCCAAGTATCCGCTTCCCGTGGAAGCAAGACGAGGGGCGCGCAGGGCCCAGGGCCGGGGGCCGGGAGCACCTCCGCGCGGGTGGCGGGAGGGAGCACGGAGGCCGCCGAGCAGGCCCGAGGCGCGATGCTTTTGATAAGTGGGCAGTTTTGTTCGGTTGAGTCAAAATTTACATCCTTTTGACCAAAAGCCAGCAGCAAGTCCTGCAAGACAAACCACACTTCTACGCGAAGGAAAGGACTGAGAGCAGGTTCCCTTTGAAAAACAAAAGGTGAAAATATGTAGATGGTGGAGGGATGCCCGGGGCGGGATGCCCGGGCCTGCGGTCCCTGGAGGATGAGAGTCAGACTGGTTTGTAGGATGAGCCCGCTGCTTGGTTTTCTGAGAAAAGAGATGTGAAGACATTTTATTAGTGGCTTGATTGATTTCCTTCTTTTCCTCCCTAGGAACTTATTTTAATAGTGATATTAACAACAGTACTAAGATGGTTTGGGGATTTAAAAGCTACTGGTGAGAAACCAAAACGTAGATTGTAGAACCTGATGGTTGCAAACGAAGCCATCCTCTGCATTTTCCTTCTACTCCTGGTGCTACACCTTTATGTCTGTGAAATGCGACTTTGGCTTTTTCAGTGGAAGAATGTGTTGAAGGTTTCATTTTGTTTTAGAAAGAAAAAAAAAAACCACCTCCCAAATGGGGGAGGCAACAGCTTAATATTTGCTTGGTCATTCAAAATACATATGGACGTTTGGATTTCCTTTCTTAAGTGTATTTGCCATTTCTTAACGGAGCACGTGCAAGGGAGAGCATCCTGTTCCAGCATGTCATCATGTAGGCCAGTTCCATCCCAGGAGGCGTCCAAGAGGCCCTGTCTCATCCTGGCACTTCGCTGGTGAGCGGCTCATCAATGATGTTTGGATGAGAAATCTCACATAAGCAAAAATCCCAAAAAGTCCTGGGACCACCAAATTGTCGTTCACGCATTCCTAGTCATTTCAGTCCCGGACACACCCTGCTGCATTTGAGACCTGCAAATGAGGCTGCGTTCAGCTCAGCCTTTCTGCAACGAATCAAGAAAAGTGAAGAAGAACTGTTAAGACCACGAGTGAACAGAGGATTGCTCTTAATTTCTGATTTTTCTCGTGCACGACTCTGCTGAGCGACTGTTCAATCCATTTAAGGTACTTTGGGTCTCACGGAGGGTGTCAGCTCACCTGAGGTTTTCTCCTGAAGTCAACACTAATCCACTTCCCAATTAAAGTGAAGTTTTGTAACAAGGGCCGCTTTCTCCTGGTACCTGGGTGAAGCACAGAACAGTTAGCAAACAGGTTTCTGCTCTGAATCCTTTTTCACAAAGGTAAATGGCAGATAAGTGGGTAGGATTTGGGGCTCTGACCAATCAAAATCTGAGTCATGTTCTACAGCCCCTGAAACAGCTAAGCCAGGCTTCCAAAGCGTGGCCCTTGGGTTCCAGAACTGTGGTTCTTCACCTCCGCAGTGGAACCTTTTATACAGACGTAGAGTCTAACAGTACGGGGAGGCTGGTCCTGGGAAGTTAAGTGTAGCCGTTTGCACCTGTTCACCTCTCTCCTCCTGTTCACACGGTCTGCACAGACTTCCAAGAACATGGCCCCTTCTGGGTTTCATTTCTTACCTCTCTGTCTTGGTTCAAAACCAGACTTGCTCCAAAGTAGAGGATTTTCTTTGCTTATCTCTCAAAAATACCAGATTTCCTGAACATGTTAGTAAGGATTTCAGATATCCAAGCAGAATTTTATTATGGCACCTAACAGTGAATTCAAGTCATGTGCCAGCAGATGGAATAAACGCACACCCATACTCTCCTGCTCTGTTCACCATTGTGTTTGCACAACTAGTGCTAATAATGGTGACTTCTTTGTACTTTGCAGAAAGGGGTGTCTGTTTTAAAAGGGGTTGACTGCAGTAGGGACGTTGATGCCTGTCAAATTAGCATAAGAGGATTGTACCCATTTGGTTACCCTTAGAGCCAACATACCTTTCAAACAGGTGTCAAAACCAAAGAGGACATAGAATATATAGCCAGTGGGGTTGGGGTGGTGTGAGCAACCCAGGGGTTCCCCAGCATGCTGGAATGGGTCATAAAGCACAGACTGTGCGCTTGTCTCCTCTGAACACGTCCCAGCCTTTGTGGCTGTCCCCAGACTCAGCACAGGCTCGCTATGGGGGCGGGGGCTGGTGGGGGGGTGGAGGCCACCACACCCAGGGTATCAGATAATGCAACTCAAGTGATTTACTTTATTTTTTTTTTAAGATTTATTTATTTATACATACAAGAACTGGGGTATAGGCCAGAGGTGTGGGGGTGAGAGGATTCACCAGAGACAGAGTGGGGAACAGAACAGGCAGATTGACTGAAATACACTGCTGAGGGGAGCAATGGAGAGACAGGGGAGGTCTGCTGTGCCATGTGGGTAGCTCCCTGGCTGGCCTGGGATCGAACTCGTGCTGCAGTGGCTGCAGATAGCTTCATAGGTTGCATCTTAACCCCTTTCGCCACCAGGGGTCCCCTCAAGTGATTTACTTTAAAATCCCTCCTGTGTGGCTTTGGAGTTCATCAATGAACACGCTGTTCATTTAAGTCAGAGCTTTGGAGCTGATTGTTTGGGAAAATGATTGCATTCAGAGTTTATTTTGTCATTCTCTCGCTGTGTCCCTGAGCCTCATTCTCCCCATCAGCCAAGGAACAGGCCTCCCCTGCCCACCTCCCAGCATATCTCATTGTGAGAATCACATGAGGCCGTGTGTGCAAACATTCCTGGAGGAGGGAGCACAAAACCCTGTGGTATATAACATGCCCTGTAGGATTGACTGGAACAGACCTTCTGAATGACTGTGATTTCTGTGAATGAGCTCAAGGAGGAAACCAGAGCAGGACCAGAGGCTCCTTTGCTTTAAATTCACTTCTCCATTCACTTGCAAACAGCATTTATTAAGCGTCTTGCTGCTCCTGCTTGTCTGCTGTTCCTGGCACCGAATAAGTCAGCAGCCCTGAGCTCTTAGGATCTAAGTCAGAGAACACAGATGGCTGCTAACAGACAGAAGACGGAGAGCAGCAGACTGGTTACAAATTCTCGAGAGTACAAAGTTGCTCAGAAGAATGGCAGTTGCACATTTGGAAACTGTGGGATCTTGGAGTGATGGCAGCTTCAGAACAACTTTTAATCAAGGCAGAGGGGAATAGCCCAGGAAAGTGATGAGATCTTGCTCCGAGGGGGCCTGGGGAAGGATGTAGAAGGACAGTAAAAGTATCCCTGGAAATGGACTTGATCTTGGTCTGCTACGATGTCAAACCAAATCCCTAAATCTACTGTGTCGGGAGTTCTAATGACCCCAGCGGAGAGCATGGTGCAGTGAGCTTGCTTGGGCAGTGGATGCAGCGGGAAGATAGCGAGGTCTCTGGAGGTCTGTGAAGAGGAGAACCAGCCGGGAGAGGGAGTGGAGACCAAGAACCACTGGGGGACCCTGAGAAGTAGGAAAACGATGCAAGTTCTGTCCGGGCTTGTTGCTCTGGGCAGATTTCAGCAACCAGTCATTAAATCCTTTGTGGAGCGGAGCAGGTTATAAATAAAGACATTCAACTTCTTTATGGCTGCCTACACCTGTTTTGCCACATTTCACTTAATTTAAGATTGTGTTTTGGTTTGGGGGGCACATGGCTTTTCAGGGCACGGCGCCGGTGATGCAGAGCAAGGCTGCAGGTTGCCAGAGGCTTGGGTGGAAATGAGGGATTGTGGGTGCTGTGATCCTGCGTCTGAGACCCCGTGCAGGGTCAGCGCTCTCACCACTGCTCTCAGCACTCCTCAGAGCCCCAGCGGGCAGAGCCGTCACTCGGATGCCCACTGCGTTTGCAGTGATTCACGAGTTCATCGTGAAACAAGCTTTCTCTCTCCCTTTCATACTAGATTCTTGGACACGAATGAATTTGTCAGTTGGAAGGAGAAGTGGTTACAGTTCTGGGGGCAGGGGTTAAGGGCAAGCTCCAGTCTTAACTCCCACACTAACTTTAGCTCCATTGGGTTTTAGCCATTTCATTTCTACCTCCACAGCAAGTCTCCAAAGCCAGTCTCCAGAGCCTGCTTATCCACATTTGTCCCAGGCAAGAGTGCGAAGAAGTCTACTTCCATACCTGCAGAGAGAACATTTGAACACAGAACCCATTTTTTTATGGGATGGCCACCTGGACTTCATGTTTACGTTTACCCCAGTTTGTTAGCAGGTAACCACCAAACAGGTGAGAGGGTTTCTATGAGCAACAGCTGTAACATCCTCATAAAATGTACTCGGTTGCATGTGACCTAGTGGACAAGGAGTGTGCACATTGCAGGTTTTAAAAAAATACTCGTGGAGGTGAATTTTCATGGTTTGAACAGGGACTCTTTTCTCCACGTCTCCAAGAAGACTTGAAAACTGAAACCTCTCGGTACAATCCTAATTCCATGCTTGTGTGTGTAAAAGTACACCTGATATTTCATCTTAAGAACATGCAGGAGCATTGAAATTTAGGAAAAGAATATTAAATGCCTACTAAACGTGAAGCAAAGTTAGGAAGCAGCGAGCAAGTGAGAGGAGGAGCAATGTCTTTGTCCACATCAGTTTCCCACAGAGTGGATGATTATGCAGGCTCCTTGCTTTTCCTTTTTTCCTCCAAGTTTTTCTGTGCTGGGGCCACTTCACATGTAAAGAGTGCAAAGGTATATGGGACAGAGATAGAAGTTTTACGTGATCCGGGTCTCGCTGTCCTTGATGCCACAACCTTTCCAGACATCTTGGAGCTTGTGGTTGGTCCCTTTTCATGCCCACCAGCTTTCAAGCACTCATGACTGACCTCCCTAAGTGGAAGTTAGGAACAGTACCAGGTCAGAGTCAAGCCAGACACCCTGTACTGTTCCTCCTGCAGATGTGGGGACAGAAGGAGGCTCCACCCATGTACTCAACTGCTCTGAGCTTGTTTCAGAGGGCTTGTTTCAGAAAAGGGGAGTAGAAATTCTTCTCAACTTTGCCCTCCACCATTTAGAGATGGAGACCAGGTTAGCATTGCCCTTGCAGGAAAGGTAGCTGCTCTGGGACGCCCACCTGGTTCCTGCTTTGTCAAGACCCATGTTCTTCTTGCATCTCATTCCTCGATGATGAGTGTTAATGTACGAAAATATGCAGAGTATGTTGAGGCCACTTGATGCCTCAATACTGCAACTTGAACTTGACAATCATGGTTTGCTGGTCTCAAACAGGCACTTAAAGTTCAGAATGGGTATATGATTTAGGAAGTGAATCTTCCCTTCTCTTTGTCAGTTACGTTTCTACCCTTCAATTAGCTGCACTGTTTTCTAATGTGCTGTAGAGTTTTTGAAATAATTTATGCAAGTGTTTGGTTTCCATGTTTACAATTTATACAGCTTTCCTAGCATTTTAAATGGAAATGTCAATAAATGCTATGAATTGGTGTCAAATGATACTTTTCTGTTCATTTCCTTTGCAATATGACTATCATTTGTAAAATGATAAAGTAGAGCAAAGAGATGATCTCTTTATTTTCCAATTTTGGTGTCCCCCAGAATACCGAATGCTGTCCATTTCCAGGGAGCTGAGTTGAGTGTAGTCTGTTCAGTGTGTGGATTTTGCAGAATTGTTTTTGCTCCCACTGGCCAGCGCCACCCTGGCACTCAGGTGTTCTGCTTTACTGCCACCCATTCATCAAGTTGATGTTCCCACTAAGAGCAGATTAATTTTGGAATGAAAAGATTAGGACGCTAAAGTCTAGGAAGATAAAACGAGAAGACCAAAGGCTATACAATCTTGGAAGGTAATAGGATAATCCTTGAATTGTTTACAAAGCCCAAGAAAATAAGAACCCAGTGAAACTGAGAAAAGCAAAAGGAACTAAAAAAGGGCAGTGGAATCTAACTACAAAATGAAATGTGGAACCTAGATAACATCCTGGAGCAACAGAGACAGTAACAGAAAAGGTTGTCAGTGGAAAAACTGGTGAAATCCCAATAAAGTCTCCAGTGTGGTTAACAGGAATGTGCAAAGGTCAATTTATTGATTTTGCTAACTTTACTGTGGTTGTTAAGACTTTATATTGAAGGGAAACTATCTAACTATGTTATTTTAGTATCTTTTCTTCTCAATATAAAATTACTAAAAAATTCAAAACCAAGATAAAGCCCATTGGTCTCATGCAGAGGCTGATATGACCCTGGCATCACAGCCCATACTTGCCACGCTTCTCCGGACAGCCAGCTCCTGCTGCTTAGCTGAAACCACAGTTGACAAGTGTAAGTATTGGCACAAAATAAGCATTCGTGAAAGAGAATTCATAGGCTCAACCAAAAAGGAGAGTTTGAATCTAAAAATGACAGAAAGTAGTCCACTATGAAAGTGATAAAAGTGTTTTTCAAATGTTTGGAGCGATTGAAAAAAGCTAGTGAACAATAGATCAGGATATTATGACTGTTGAAGCATATTTGACAAACCAGAAATCATCCTTGAAAGAAAAAGAATTTCAAACCATACTTATGCCCACAACGGTCGGATGCTCCCATATTTCAGATATAGATGAGGAAACTTTATTATGTCTTAATAAATATGGTTTTATATTTTGAAAAATGGACCCTTACAGCTCATTTCTTTCAGAGATTGATGTGCTATGCTAGCTGGAAGAACAGGGAGTTACTAGGAGCAGCTCAGGCTTAGAAAAAACCCACACTGGGCTCTGGCCCAGTGCCTGAACACAGAGTTGGCATGAACGTGAACTTAAAACATAATTGGCATTTCTTGTCCCTTTTCTCCTCTTCCAGGTTGCACCTGCCAAGCACAACTTAGGACAGTAAAAAGGAAGCAAGAAACAATAACAAAAAGAGAAACACTTTGGTCCGGTGCCCGAATGAGAGATTACACTGATGGAATGTGTTATTGTCAAACCACACACTATTTATCTAGTAACTTTCTTCCTCTAAAGATCCTGCACTTTCCTCACCACACCTGCTGGGGAGTGAGAGGGGGTGGTGTGCCTTTGATTTCTCTGGTGTTGAGGACTTGAAAAACTGCAGCCGCAAGAATAGGTAACCACATCTGTGTAGTCCAACTATTGTGCTTCTGCCACAGATAACATTACAGAAGCTGAAACAAGTGTTTGGAAAACCCTTGGTGGAGTCGTAGACCCACTGGGTCACGTAGTTACATCCGTATCTTGAAAATATACGTGAGTGGAGAACTTGATGACTTCTTTCAGCATTTTAAAATTCTGAGGTTGCTTTAAAGGAGACAATACATTTTGTTTTTTTTTTTAAACGACGTGGTTTAGGAGCTAAAATGGGGTCACTGCATTTCATTACAAATGAATAGTGCTTCCTTCTCCCCTCTCCCCCCAACAATAGTTCAATAGGGTGAGCAGCAGGGATGCTCTGTTTTTTTTTTTTAAGATTTATTTATGCATACAAGAACTGGGGTGTTGGCCAGAGGTATGGGGGTTATGATAGGATTCACCAGAGACAGAGTGGGGAACAGAACAGGCAGATCAACTGAAACACTGTGAAGGGGAGCAGCGGGTGAGGCAGGAGAGGTCTGCTGCGCCATGTGGGTAGCTCCCTGGCCGGGCATTGAACTTGTGCTGCAGTGGCTGTGGATAGCTTCATAGGTTGTATCTTAACTCCTTGCACCACCAGGGGGTCCGGGAAGCTCTATTTTTAGCAGAATCCAGAAATTGCTATTTCCCCTTACGTTCTCTGGCTGGGAGATGAGGGATCCTGCCCGGATCTGATGTGCAAGGACCAGGATGTGTTCAGATCACTGGTTTACATTTTCTGGCTACCAATAAATTTGATGAGCAAATTAGGAGGAGAGTTTTTTAGAAGACATTCGTTCTTTTCCAGGACAGAGGGGTGAAGGGAGTGTGTTCGTGGTGCCTCCCTTAGGCTATATAAATATAAATATATATATATGTAAATATAAAAATGGACTTCAACACTCTAAGCTAATAGGCCACTAGAGTATAATTTTCAATCTTTAGTAGGGGAGATAAAGTATAGTAATTGTTATCTAGTCGACAGTGTAAGACTTACTAAAGTTATGTTGGAAAGTAAAATAAAAATCAACATAATGCAGTAAGCTGGCCATTAGCCCTCACCTTTCTTCGTCAAAATGCAGATTAGTGACTCAGCGTCTCCATCAGAGATGCTGAGTCACAATTTTAGGAAATTTTGATCTTTTTAAAAAATAAATCTCAGGCAGCTTCATCTGGTTTGGTGATCGGGACACTCAGGTTGACCTACTGCCCCTTGACCTTCCCCTGGACGTGATCAGATCCCCTGGCACACCGGGGCAGAGGTGGGATGTGTGAGATGTGATCGGAAAGAAGGCTCTGGAAATATGCCCGGGGAATCTTTACCTGCAGTTTTCTACTCTACCTGAGAAAATGGTACCGTCACCCTGAGAGGGTCCCCCCACTTTGTACCTGAGTCTGCACCCCTATGGGGTGCCCAGTTGGCCTCCTATTATTTCATGGGATTTTGCAGGGGCTGCCCAGCCCATGTAGCTGAGGTAGAGGACTTTGGGGCCAGGTGGGCCTGGTCCAGCTTCATGCAGTTTCCACCACTTGTCTTTCATCACAACGTGACCTGGAGTCCCCGGCACACCTGCCATTGAGGGCCCTGGGGAAGGGTCTGTCTCCATGGCTTTTCCTTAACTGGGTAATGAAGCACATGTATTGATTCTCTGGGGTGCATTTCCTGCCTAGGGGTGCCCCCTTCTCCCCACCCATTGACCACACAGTGTGGTCACCAATTATGTTGGTCTATGATTTTCTTGCGATGTTTTTATCTGGTTTGGCTGAAAGGGAATGTCATCATAAAATGTAGTGGGAGGCATCCCTGCTTGTATTTTTAAAAGCAGTTTGATGCGAGTGGGTATTAGTTCTTTGAGGGTTTGATAAAATTCATTTGTAAGATGGTTGGGTTCTAAGTTTTATTGATCTTTTGTTATCTTTTTTACTTCTATTTCATTTATTTCCACTCTTATTTTTATGTTCTTTCCTTCTACTAACTTTGGGTCCTAATTGTTTCTTTTTTTCCAGATTGCTTTAGGTGTAATATTAAGTTGTTTATTTGGGATTTTTCTTGCTTCTTAATGTGGGGCTGTATTGCAGTATCTTCCCTCTTAATATTGCTCTTTCTGCATCCCATAAATTTTGATAGCATATATCCTCTTTTTCATGAGTCTCGAGGTATTTTTTTATTTCTGCTTTAATTTCCTCCTTAATCCAATAACTGTTACACAGCACTTGCTTAGTCTCCATGTATTTAGATTTTTCCAGTTTTTTTTTTAATAGTTGATTTCTATCTTTATGGGGATTTTATTTTACCTACCTATTTACCTAGGAATATGCTATATAGATAATTTTCTTTCCTATTTTTTTTCTTTAGCATTGTCTTAAACATTTTCTCATGTCTTTAAAGTCTCTTATCTATCATTTTGTATCTTTAAAGGCTTATATTTCCAAATTATTGTGTAATTTTTTATTTATCTTTTAGATTCCATGTAGCTGAGTTAATTTCTGTACTAAAAATATTTTTTTTCCTTTAGCAGCTTGATTACACTTATTTCTTTGTAAACTTTCATGGTTGGCATTCCCTGTTCTTTAAAGGACCTGCTTATTCTGTCACCATTCTTGTCTACATGTGCGGTGTATGATTAGTTCTGGAGTTGGAAGCCTGAGATAAGGGAGCCAGTGAGGTCATGTGAGCACCATCGTGAGGGCCACTTTCTTCTCGTTGCATCCTACATGGTAGAAGAGGTTATATATATATTTATGCTAATATTTCTCTCTATGGATTGGCCATAATTCAATGATAGCCCAGATGTTAAAGATCCGATTGTTATTCTTTTAATATTTATTTACACATACAAGAACTGGGGTACAGGCCAGAGGTGCGGGGGTGGGGGCGTAAGAGGATTCACCAGAGACAGAGTTGGGAATGGAACAAGCAGATCTACTGAGATACACTGCTGAGGGGAGCAGCAGGTGAGTCAGGAGAGGTCTGCTATGCCATGTGGATCACTTCCCTGGCTGGGGATCGAACTCGTGCTGCAGTGGCTGCGGATAGTTTCGTAGTGCTGCGTCTTAACCCCTTGTAGCACTAGGGAGGCCCCTGTTATTCTGTTATTACAAATAATGGCATGTGAAGTATCTTTTTGTATAAATTACTTGATTTTGAGATTATTTCAGGATAAATTCCTATAATTCAGGGTGAAATTACATGGTCTGAATAGATTTAAAGGGTCTTATTCCATATTATCAATAATTTTTCAGAAATCTTGGGCCATTTTATATCCCCTGTGCTACTCTGAAACTGTATGTCATTGTCCTTTCACCACGCTGAGTAATAGAATTATACACATGCACATTTATATTTAATTCAGCCAATAAAGTATCCATAACTATTATTTGTTATCAAATAAGATCCCATAATAATATTAACACTTTGTTTTTTGATATTTAGGGTTCTTTTCCCAGTATGTTATGTTACCTAGAATAGCAACTTATTAGAAATAATTTTCATTTCCTAGACTCTTTTCTAATAGGACTGTGACCTATTGCAAATTATCAGCAGAAGGTTATAAGATTGGGATGTTTTCAGTATATCTGGTTTTAAGGCATACTTTCTCATTGTATGATGAGCATCATTTATCAGAAGTCACCAAGCAAAGACAGGTCATCCTTGTTAAGGGGTGGTTAAGTGCAGGTGTGCAAGTATGTGTGTGAGAGAATGGGAGAAGGAAGCTATTGACCTCTAAGGTCCTGTCCAGCTGGGCTCTGTGACTCATTGTTGCAATATCCAAGGCCTTTAGCTGATAAGGATTTAAAAAATTCCAAGCATTGAGAGGATCAGCTTTTAATCCCAATCCAAGCTGAGCTGTTTAAATTAATGTGAGTTCAACTCCCATCACCCCCTTGGGTTCCTTGAACCCCACATGTACATAAAAATAGTTTATGTACATAAGTTAAACTAAATAGCTCT